AGTAAGGTCTTCCGCTGAAGACGGAAGACCTTAAATAGTGGAAAAGAAACCTAAGAATAACAAGAAGGTCTTCCGCTGAAGACGGAAGACCTTAATAAGAAACAATGGAATCGCTATAAGGTCTTCCGTGAAGACGGAAGACCTTAACTATGCCGCGTTTACAGTAATATAGCATTAAAACTATGTAGGCAAATTTTATAAAAATTGCAGATAATACGCTTTAAAGTCTAAGGAACATTATACCAGATTTTCAGGATATGTATTCTCGTAAGAATTTTTATGCAGTAAACCCGCGACCTACCTTAAGAGTAGTTTTACTAAGTATTGGGTATATTTACAATAGATAAGATTAGTAAATCTAGAATTGATGAGTAAGTTTCACTAGGTATCTAGGTATCTATACGATCCCCTTTCCACAACCCACTATCTTCACCAGTAAACTGAAAGTTTACTAATCACGACAAATGCTTTACGAGACATACTAGTTAAATTCACTAAGTTTTTCTTTCAGTGAATGGCTTTTTCAAAAAATTTTGAAATGACAGGGAGCACACTGACAGGTCTGTAATTGTCTTTAATAAGAGCACTATTTTTCTTATGGATTGGTGTAACCTGAGCTTCTTTAAGCTTGTCGGGGAAAATTGAACATGATAAAGACAAGTTAATAATGTTTGTAATAGGTTTTACTATAACGGGCTCTGCTAAATGGAGTAATTTGGATGATATACCATCAATTCCCGTACCCTTCTTTACATTTGTTTTGCTGATCCTTTTCTTAATATGAACAGCTGTAACAGGGAATCAAAGTTTACATCGAAATAAAAAAAAAAAAAATATTTCTCTCAAGAACCACTAGGCCAGGAAATCTGAAACTGATCGTATAGATTGTAAATTGTTTGTATCAATGGCCCTGGGGTCATTTGGTCCTAAAAGGGATTATATAGGGAAACTCTTTGATGGATCGTATTTATGTGGAACCATGTTCTTGTAGTGTTGATCCATTTTTGGTCAAATCAAGGCCCCCGAGTATAGTATGGGGCTACAAATAAAGAGGAAAAAGTTTGTGTTTGGATAAAATCTGACATAGAACAGTAGGGCCAGAGTGACTGGTGAGTGTTGTGGTCCATGGGCCTCTTGTTATCGGGTGTTTTCAATTTTTATACTCTGTGCACATCACTGAGGACTGATTTACATTACTTTAGAACTTTCTCATCCTTCTAATTATGAATATTCTGGATTATATATATGGTTTAAATATTAATTAACTCGACATTAGATATGTCAACGATTTGTTATCAATTATTGTTATTTTCATTCTTATGTCAACACGATATATTCCAGGAGGTACCACAGAGTCTGACACATCTGTTTCTTAAAATTTACTAGAAAAAGGCTTACATGGTAACCTTACATCAAAGATTTATGACAAACGTGATGACTAAATTTTCAATTGTCACCCCCCTTACTTATGCAGCAATATATCTAAATCAACTGCGTATTGGGTTTTATCTCTTTCATACATAAGAGCATGCTGCAGCTCTACGTATGAATGATTTCTAATACCAGGTAAGTTATTGACATAAAAAGTTGATGAAACAAGAATATCAACAGTTTTGTTTGAAGTCATCATTACGTAACTTTTATCGTTGATACAATGACCTTCAGCGAATATATAAATCTATCATTGAGTCAAAATTTATGCTGAGACATCAATTCATACTTTACATTGTTAGGCTATTATCTACACACTGAATTGTCGACAGATTTCACCGTTATTTCCCGATCATGACAAGATCACACGCCGGGTTTTATACCGGTCGAAAGGGAATATCCACTCCTCCATGGCATCTGATCCCACCTCTGATGTTTTAGAGGACCGATTTTGCTCTGCTCCTGATTTGTATTGATTGAATAGACCTTTGAACTAAAAATGTAATTTATTTAGTAAAACTTCTACTTTTTTTTATATCAAAAGGTCACTGGGAAAGGATGTCTGATTTACTGAAATCAACAGTGTAGAAAAAAATGTTACGGCCCCCTGTGTGAAAATTTTGAAATCAGTAATTTTTTCCTTCCCTCTGCTCTTCCTTCACATCTTGCAGTGATTTAAGTTTCAAAGATACTACATGTACTAATATCCAAGGTATTTTTATCAAACATCATATGCTGATACATAGAAGAACTAAAGTGCACCTACACTTTTAACCTTGACGCTTCCTTTGACATTGACTTTACTTTTCTTAAATGTGTGTTTAGCTCACTTTCAAAGAAACTGTTCAGAATATACCGGTATTTTTATCAAACCTTATACATGTACATGTATCTTGATACATAATATATGTATAAGAGCTATTCAACTTCACCAATTTTTTTTAAATTTTCAGCCACCTCCAAAACTTGTGTTTAGCAGAATTTTCAAAGAAACTATTCAACCCATTGGTGTCGGAAGCAAATTGAAGGGGGGGGGGGGCTAAGTGAAAAAGAAAAAAAATCGAACCAGAAAAAAACGTGAAAAGCAAAAAAAAAAAAAAAAAAAAAAAAAAGGAAAATATGTCTATTGTCCTAACAAGAAAATTCTATTTCGTGGGGGTGGGTGGGGGTGAGGTTTAGATCGAACTGCTCCAGTACCAAATTTTCCTTTCAAACACTGCTTTCTACCTTTCTTCGACTTCACTGCAATGTTGCCTGTTGAAGTGTCGGGTGTCTACCCCCCCCCCCCCCCCCCCAGGTTCTGACACCTATGCAACATATAGAATTTCATGTGCTGAAATATATAGATGAGAGCTGTTCAACTGCATCAACATCTTATGACCTTGGCTTTTCCGCTGACTTTCATCTCCCTCATCTTTAAAAGGTATTCTATATGCTCATCAGTTTCACAGAATGTTCAAGACATTTTAAGTAAACCTACTATTATGCTGATACTTTTGGTGAGAGCCTTTCAAATGCACCGACAATTTTGACTTTTTTTTACTGTTACTTTAAACGTGTATTTAGTTCAATAAAAAAAGTAATTTTGATCTTGCACTCTTTTTACGTTGACTTCAATGTGTGTTGAGCTATACTTCAATAAAAGTTAGATATTTTTATCACACTTTTTATGATTTATATAATTTGATTGCATCAGTATTTTTATGCCCCCGTAAACGAAGTTTCGGGGGTATATAGTTTTTGTCGTGTTCGTCCGTCTGTCTGTTTGTCCACAAAATCTTTAACCTTGCCCATTACTTTTTAGTGGAGCTATGACTTTCACATTTCACGTGCATTCCTTGTGACAAGACCTTTCTTTAGGTACCACCAAATTCGACCTTGACCTTGGAGTTTGACTATTCTTTGTGGCAAGACCTTTCATTGAGTACCAACAACTTTGACCTTGGAGATTTCCGTACTTATGAAAAAACTTTAAGCTTAGCCATAACTTTTGAACAGTAAGGACTAGGGCTTTCATACTTCACATATGTAATCCTTGTGAGAAGACGCTTCATTGGATACCAAGAACTTTGACCTACTTTTTACAAACTTTAACCATGGCCATAACTTAATTTTGAACGGTAAGGGCCAGCACTTTCATACTTTCCATATGTAATCTTTGAGACAAGGCCTTTCTTTAGAAACCAACAACCTTGACCCTTTGACCTTGACCCCGGAGTTTGTCCTACCTTTAAAAAGGTTAATCTTTGACGTAGGGGCTAATGCTTTCATACTTTAGATATTTAATCTTTGTGACAAGACCTTTCATTTGTCATCAAGAACTTTGACCCTGACCTTGGAGTTATTCTACTTTTTAAAATGTTTAACCTTGGCCATAACTTCTGAAGATTTAGGGCTAGGACTTCCATACTTCACATATGTCTTCTTTCAATCTGGTATTCTTTGTGACAAGACCTTTCATTGGATACCAATTACCTTCAACTTTTGACCTTGCAGATTTCCGTAGTTATGAAAATACTTTAACCTTGGCCATAGCTCTTGAACGCTAAGGGCTAGTTCTCTCATACTTCACATAGGTAATCCTTGTGAAAAGACCCTTCATTTGGATACCAAGAATTTCAACCCTTTGACTTTGGTGTTTGACCTACTTTTAAAAGGCAAACCTTGACCATAACTTTTAAAGGGTTAGGGCTAGTGCTTTCATGCTGTAAATATTTAATCTTTGTGACAAGACCTTTCATTTGATATCAAGAACTTCGACCCTGACCTTGGAGTTTTACCTACTTTTTAAAATTTTTAACCTTGGCATAACTTTTGAAGGTTTAGGGCTAGGGCTTCCATACTTCACATATGTATTTGACCCTGACCTTGGAGTTTGACCTACTTTTTAAAATTTTTAACCTTCGCCATATCTTCTGAATTTTTAGGACTAGGGCTTCCATACTTCACATATGTATTCTTTGTGACAAGACCTGTCATTGGATACCAATTACCTTGACCTTTTGACCTTGCAGATTTACGTACTAATGAAAAATCTTTAACCTTGGCCTACTTTCATATTTCACAATTGTTATTTCCAGTGAGAATATCTTTCTTTAGGTACCAATATATTAAATTTGCATTTAAGAAGTTTAATCTTGCTATGTTGCCATATGGGGGCATCTGTGTTTCACAAACACATTTTGTTTACCTTGAACTTAAGAGTTTGACCCACTTGGCCATTACTTTTCAATAGTTAGCACTAGGGCTCTCATATTTCACAGCTGTATTCTATGTGGCATGACCTTCCTTTGGATACCAACATTTTTTACCTTTTGATCTTGACCTTTTGACTTGCATTCGAGAAACTCCAACCCTTTCCATTTGCTACCATATTGGGGCATCATTGTTTCACAAAACATCTTGGTTTTTATTAACTATTCATCAAAAGTTCTAACATTAGCTTAATTATTGCAGAGGTGTCTGAAAGGAACACTTCGGAGAAACACTCATATTTGGCTCAAGATTGCAATGGGTTTGTAATTTGCTTGGACCAGTCACTAAATGAAAAAGATGATACAAAAACTCAGTGTTTGTGAAATATTTTTTTAATATTGGTCATGTGACCCTCATGTACATTCTACAATTTCAGCATAATACTATTTAGAGTGATGATAGAATAAGTGATAAACATGTGACATGGTTCATTGAAAACGGTCAGAACTGTGTCAAAGGTCTTTTCAATGCATCTACAATTGGTTTTACAAATGGCATACTACCAAAGAAACTACAGCTAGAAGACCTGCTTCACTATATTGAGAGGGAATTAAGTATCAGAAGTGGATGTTTGAGAAAATTCACTATATTTTTCAAAGAACATCTGAAGTTTTCAAATGATTCTGGATAATTTGTATATATATTGGCAATTTATTTTTTGAAGAATGAACTATGAATATTATGAGAAATTTTTATTATACAACACTGTCTTGTATTTAAGCAACCAAGAAATGTTCCAACATTGAAAAGGCACGACTTTACAACCTTTCTGAAGCAGCAAATATGGTGAATACCATTGAAATGTATTTTGATCTGAAATGTGACTGTGGTACATTTGTAAGTCTGTGACACTGGGGTAAAAAAGGTTATACATTGTCAAGAGCAGAATGGAAATCAATCACTTCATTCACATGTGAAATACAACCAAGATGGTTTACAATGCCTTGCATATTTGACGATCAGATATGTTTGGTGGGCAATTCACAACAGTTTGTACAAAAATCTATTTTGGCAGCTGTTACCATAGGAACAGTTTTATTTGAAAATATTAAATCACACTAATCAGCACCAAAAATAAGGTGAAAACCAACAAAACAATGAAAATTTAGAAAAACTAAGTGACAGAAATTATACCAAGACACTGTTATATCAAAGACCACATGCAAAACTCAATCTGGACAAAATATTGGCAGAAGATTAGAGAAAAGGTTGGATTCATGCAAGAAATTTTTAGAAAGTATTGATGGAAATACTTTTCCAACAAAGAAAAATCCATAAAAAATCCAGAAACTGTCAAATGAAATAAAAAAAGAAGATCCAGGTGTAAAGAATGAACATGAGGAGGACAGAGACATGCCAACTGAGATGAAGCCACAACAAAGAATATTTCATCACATGTGGGAGTTTAAAGAGTAAAATATGAAGACAGATTATGTTGCAGAATTTCTCTAAGATAATATCAGCCAACCACTCAGCACCAAGCATGAGACTCCTAGCAGCAGGACATGCACCACGTCAGCCACTCCATATATGGAAGTCGTTGCCATGGACACTAGAAAGATCTAGGAAGGCCAAAGGTCATGAATCCATGACAGAGTCGCCTACAGGAGAGAAAAGTCAGCATCATCAGCAAAGTTTAATTACAATTATTGGATAGAGACGTTAGTTTAGATTTCTTGTACATAAGCGAAAATAGAAAGCACCAAATTTTTCTTAGAATATGTAAGAGTTTTTGAGAAAGTGGTAATGGTTAATACAGGAGTTGACATGATTAACAAACCAAGTTTACAACAAATGAAATACATGGAAATTGCACTCTGAAACACTTATTTATAAAACAAACATAAAATTATACAAGTAACATTCACTTTGAAAAAAAAACTCTCTTCCTATCTCACTTCCACACCTTTCACTTTCTCACAATATCCCTAAATAAATAATACTTCTGCTGGCATGCTATAAAACATCAATTATATGTTGGACAAATAAAATGAATTATCATGCAACTATAAAATTGTTCTAAATATACAAAAAAGATTTGTATCATAATGCTCACATAAAGTTTACAAAGTCTCTGGCTGTCCTGTGTACAAACCAGTTGTAATGACAGTGTACTTTTGATATCGCAGCAAAACTCATACTTAAGGGGTTTTTTTAAGAAAAGAGAAAAGATCATGCAAACTTTTGTATGAAATCTGATTGGCTGTAAAGGGGCCACATGACTGATCACATGACATCCACAAAGAACTCACAAGGATTTCCCATTGCCATTTTGAAAGACTGTCTACTACCACTAAGGTCTTGTGGCATATTGGATAGATCCCTTGGTGATGGTACAAGATTTACCCTCCTGGCACTTGCCAAGCTGGCATTATCTGAGTCACTACCACTTCCTGCTGGACTTCCAGACTTCCTGTCCTTCTCTTTTCGACTGCTCCCAGAAGCACTACTCCCTAAAACGACAATTAAGTAAACATTAATTCATTAATAGACTAGTCAAAACTTATTCAAACAACAGAGTACAGAGTCCAGTGATACATGACATATTATAGCAAACTCCATGCGGAACCATATCTACAATATTCTATGAACAGTCATCACTGCATTAATCCTTGTGTTCTGCTGCACAAACACTAGCAGACAGACGGGCACTCAGTGAGAGTGGTGTGCTGGAGGCGACAGAAGCAATGAAGCAGGTTGTCATGGCTACGCTCTGGTGGGTCGAAGGTCAGTGTCTACAGAGTTAATAGAAGGCCATGCATTACTTCCCCCTGAAGCTCTCTCTGCTCACTTCATCCCACACACATGCATACAAGTAAACAGAGGTACCTTCCTACAGGAAGATGTGAACCTTATCACCATCAGGTGACTCGGCCTTGACCTCCTGACCTTCCTCAACTTTGTCTTCAGGAGCCTCTTGTATTCTGACCATCTTAGGTGTTTTGGTTTTGTTTTCGGTGACATTTTCCAGCTTGGCCTCATCTGATTTTTTCCCATTTTTTTCTTTCTCCTCCCCATCCTTTTTAATTTCTTTAGTTGTGTCTGCAGATTTTTTGCTTTTTACATTGTTGTTTGGTTCATTTCCCTCACAAAATGCTTTTGAGAAAAGTTTTTGTGCAGCAGGTTGTAGATTTACTGGCAAACAACAGGCATTGTGAACTGCCAAAAATTAAGGGTATAGGATCAAACTGAGACATCACATTCTACAAGGAGTGCCCACTAACCTTAACATTAAAAGTTTTGTATGACGAAAAAAACAAAGATTCTTGAAAGAAAAATTATAAAAAAAGGAAATTCTTTAAATTCATGCTTACACATAAAAATTTCATGTGATCCTGTAAATATATTGTATGCATTGTGATTATAAATGTAGACAAATTTATCGTGCTGTTTTATAAAGATTGAACATAAATGCTTAAAAAAAAAATTCCCTTAAATTTTTAAAATACAGATAACAAATTCTGAAACACTTTCCAAAAACCAAATAAAATTGTTCATAGGAGAAGTGGCATGTAAACTTTGTTTCAGTCCCCTAATGATTGAGGGCTAAGAGAATTTTTCCAAATGTGGATTCTGTGTGGTGATGATATGCATAGTGATATGTATGTCGACATCTTAAACAAATTTTACAAACTATTTTCTTTTCTTTTCATTTCTAATTAACATTTTGCATTTCATATATAAAATAAATATATAAATATAAAATATTCAGAAAATAAAGCCCCTTTTAAAAAACAAACATACAGCTTCCAGAACAATTCTTTTTATTTATGAAGAAATGTATTGCTCATTTCAATACGGAATGATAATTTTTAACCAGTTAAAAAAAATCCTGATATGCATCATGTTGTGGAACAAATACTGTTGATAGTTAATACAAATAAAAACATGTACAGAAGATGTATTTTCCCAGCCCTAAAACGTTGCTTCAATTTAAGGCACAGTGAGTTGACCGAAACATAATAAGCAATATTTAAAATAGATTGAGTCTTTTTTCATCAATAATTAACAGAAATTGAGACAAAGCACATAGATTCATGAAAAAGAAAACTTTTTCAAGTTTGCAGTTGATGAAACAAGTATACAACAACTAACAATGAACAAAGAAATCATCACCACACATAGCACAAAGAGTGACAAAGAGTTAAGGCAGGAACTAGAAATGTTATAGAGGGTCCTTAACTAGCATTAATGTTAGTTTTAAAATTGGTCTTGTAAATATCACATACATGCTTATATCTAAAGGAGAAAAAATATTGAAATTTGGCAATTCACAAATCCTGTGTAGACCCATATATAAATGTAAAGTACAGCATATATTAACAGATTTGACTATAGCAGCATAGAAGTACACAAAAGTGTAATGCATGTATGTTGTTATTCTTAAACACACCACCCCCAAAAACTGCATCCATGCACTAAATCATGCATACTGTGTCTAAAGGGATTAAAAAATTCAACAACTGGAGGTACTATTGGAATAACTGAGAGTAAAAGTCTGTTAATTAAATGTGAATTTACCAGTGGAGCTAGCTAAGGAGGATTTGGAATAGGCGGATTGGATCCTGGGGTCAGATAGAGAGTTAGCTCCCCCTGTCAGCGTCCCCTGTGTCCTGGCGTGATCGTGCCGGTGATCTGTGGGGGGTGGGTCACCCCCTGTGTGGGTCCCCGTGCTATGAACATGTTGGTGTTGATGATTATAGAGTTCTTTATCTTTGTCTGTCCATAATTTTCGGATATGATTGTAAGTACTGAGTATACATGTGCAGTCTTTGGGGGCGACTGGAAAAAAATAAAACATGGAACATGCAAGCTTCAGTACAAAACTAAATCACAAGCTGACAGGATTAGTCGCGTGACAAACTAGCACACAAAATAAAGCTATTTATCAAATCATATAGACAACAGTTAAGTCTTGCAGTCAACAAAATGGCAAATAAGAATTTTAAAAACTAAAAGCATTTTTTTTAAATTGCAAAATGTAAATACAGACAAAAGTGAATCTCTTGCATAATTTTCATGCAATGTGACACCCTACCTGAGGCACTGTGGACACTTCCGGCACTGTTATTGCCCCCTCCTGCACCTCCTGCTCCCGCAGTGAGCCCCGTCATTCCACTGACCTGACTCTTGTCTCCGTCCACAAAGCTCCCTATGTAACTCTGCGAGTCTGTGCTGGTGTAGCTATAGGGAGGGATATAGCTGAGGTTCGGAGGCAGGTACATAGGATTACCACTGTAGGGGTACTGGTTGTTCCAGTGAGGGGGCGGCAGGGGGGCCAGAGTGTCACGATCTGCCTCCGATACCGAGTCAACATCCTCCAGACTCAATGCTGACAAATCTGTAAAACATCACCAAAAAAATCACTATAACAAAACAGAAGCAAACATGTACTTGTAAAAGCATAACTTGGTAATGTCTTGTTTTTTTAATGATGAAACACCTTTTATAATGAACTGTAATTAATAATAATGATGAAAATGATACATGAAATGAAACATATATTGATTGAAATGAACTTGTACTTAAAGCAGTGATGATATATGCTGTGATCATATCTTCTTGAAATGATACAAAAAGCCCTGTGATATACAAGTGACAAAGCTCAGAAATGCTGAGAATTTAGAAAAGAAAACTAGTGATATTGTGAGAACCGAGCTCACAAACTGTACTCCTTGATCAAGTGAATCCTATATGAGTATAATGGGAAAGTCCAGTTTTTGCTGTGGGAAATCCAAATATGCATCAAATCAAAATGTGACATAGAGGTGCACAATGTAATAAAGATTCTTTAAAAATTTCATAAAATTTCATTCAGAAGCATAGGAGTTGAGGATAAGGGATGGCTATCCCAAGTGTACCAGACATGTGCAAGTATGTAAAGATGGACTATATTCTCCCAAGTTTTCAAGTGGGGTGGGGTTATAATGAAATTTAATGTTGAGTAGATGACTGAAGCAGTAAAAAATGAAGCAATATACATATTACATGTATCTATATCTTAGTTTGAAAATTTGTACATTCAAAATTAATCAAAGCCACAAACTTTCTTACAGAACCCGTGTATATTTCTTCACAAAAGGGTTAAATTTTCATTACATGCAAGCAGAAGCAACCATATACCAGTATTTACTTATCGTATGTCAGCACAGAAAAATGAAAAAGTTAGTAAATGAAAACAGGCAGATTAGTATGAATTTTTATAATTTTAAGTACATGAGTAATGACTAAACGAACAAAACTTTAATGTAGCAGTAACATGCAAAATTGAAAAACATAACTTTTTTTGGATAGACGATATAATTTTATATTTTAATTTAATCATTCACAATCATTGTATACACTTTATCAAGATTTGACAGAGCAAGCTGATTATGAAATGCATGCAATTATAAACATGTAAATATATATATAAACTCAGCCTAATTTTAGTTATGACTAAATTTTCACATTTTCTCTTGTGGTCATTTGTAAACTGTAGAAATTAAAGTATGAAGAAAATGACCACAAGATACTAATGCATTACTACATCTAACCATACAAGGTCACGACCTTGACCTACTAACCTGGATACATGGGCCCATCTACAAGGACAATAAAGTTTTGGTTAACTTTGTGTGCTCAAGGAGCAAAGGATAATTGAGGAACTGAGAATTCCTTGGAAACTTGTGCTGAAGAAACTGATGAAGGAAACATAATTCTGGCTCTAATTTATTTCTTAATATTTTTGTGAACTGAAAAATTGACCTCCATGTGCTTTCAGGATATTCTTTTGGTTGATGAAATAAAGTGAAGCAGAGGATTGCCCTGTGATGGGGAGACTGTGATCTTATAGAAATATAACTACCTCTCAGTTGTACTGGATATCGCTTGATACCAAAACAAGTTAAAGTATCTCTTATCAAAAAGTCTCATATTAAGCAAGCTCCTAGTTTCACATTAAAATCTGGTTATGCATTATAAAAATACTCATTTTTCCCCTTCACTTTTTCAAGATTATCATTTTTATCATCAAAGATTGTGTATGTGATATACTCACTTCCGTAAATATCCCCAAATATATAATAGCACTGTTCGGAGAATGTGATTTTGTTGACTGTGTGTCGAATGAATCCTGCCTTCAGTAAATTACAGGCATACTTCCTGGCATCTCTCCTATCAGCGAAGCCATCTACATGTGTAAACAGCCAGTCTACTAGGTCTGAACCTGAAAAGCATTGGTTAACAGTATTTATTTTATAATTCAATAAGATGATCAGTTCTTTAATATTCACTTATATGTTCATTACTGAATAATTATTGAATATTCAATAATAATCAAGATGTCAACATGGGTCTTTTGATTTTAATTAAATGGTATTTCTTTAATTAACACACAAAACAATCATTTTTGTTTCATTTCTCTCCTGGTTGACATAATGTCCTTTATAATTTTTGAACTGATAAGGACACATTTTTTACCGGACTTAATTTAAATATTAATGTTGATTTTTTTCCCCCTATCAGAAAGGCATACAATAGTTTCTAAACTCAAGTACGAAACACTGCCTCTGAGGATTTAGATTCATGGATAAAAGTGAACCAAGACAATATTGGTCCCCCTAAAACGATGATTCCAGGATATTCACTGATCAAACTATTCATACAGAGGCTTACCTATAAATGCATTAGGTATCGTAATTTTTAACCACATTCTATCACGGATTTCAAGCCCAGAGTCAGGCTGGGCCATAGCCTTTACCACTGTAGCCATGTCTGTATTGATGGACAGGTTCAGATCATCAAACCCTGCAAACATAAAATAATCAAGCTATGAGCATTCTTGGATAAACTGTACAATCCTGTGGCAAAAACAAACATTCAACTCTACAGATTTCTATCCTTATTTCTTCATAATTTATATGTATATATTAACAATACATTTGTTTATTTCTGCAATTTTTGCCAAACATTGTGTCATTCATGCATTATGAAAGCAAATCCTTCAATTTTAATATCACAATTTATTCTATATGAAAATTTACTCAAACACATCCCAAATTTCAAATTGACAAATCGGAGCAATTATGTGCAGTCACTTTCATTTAATTAATAAATAGTGATAAAGTGGAAATCAATTTCTTTCATTAACTGAATTTCAAATTCCATGTACTTACTTTCTGATTCTGGTATTGAGCTTGTTAGTGAAGAACTTGTGGAAGTCATATTGCTAATGGATGGGGCAGGGCCCCCGATACGAGTCATATACTCTCTCTGCATGGCTGTAGTGTGGGCCACCCATGCAGAGGGGTCAATAGGTCGTACAGGTTCCTGACGTGGTACTGTAAAGTATCCCTTGGTTGGATTAGGGTCCCAACATTTGGCTACGACTAGAGTTATAGGACTGTAAAATACACAGAATAGATATTAAGGATCTGGTTACATCAATCTTACTATGTAGAATACATACTCAAGACCTAATTACATCAACTTTACTTCACATTACCACTTTATTTGAGTAATTAGAATGTAAAAGTTTTCACAATTTATTAGCCAATCAGAACAAGTTGAGATGTGGATTAGAGTTAGGACTGACCCTGGTTTTGTTACAGCTTCTCGGAGGGTTCGTACTGCATCATCATTACTCATGTTTTCAAAACTAACACCATTTACTTCTAAAATCATGTCTCCTGGCTCTATCCTTCCATCCTGGGCCACAGCACCTCTGGAAAAATAAACACATGCAACATATTAAATTATGATGATTTTATGTGTGTATCTCAATTAAATCACTGTTCATGAATACATATGCTTCAAATATTGAAAAGAATATTATTACAAATATAGTTTACAGCACATGTAATAAATCTTTATCAGAAATCTTACTTACCCTTTCATTATGGATCCCACATAAATTCCCCCATCCCCACCTTTGTTACTTTGGCCTACAATACTGATTCCAAGGAAATTAACTGTATCTAAAAAAATAAAAATAAAAAAATCAATTCATGATTCTTAAAAGATGATTCAATCTTGAGCATTTTTAAACTTGTGTCACTGATACATACAGATTTTATCATGTTATGGAAAGATAAACAGCTGAAGTTAGACAAGCTAATCAAAATTATTAACAAGCATCAATTACCACTTACAACTTTTTTTAAATAAAAACTTACCCATATTAAGAGTCACCGTAATAATGTTTAGAGACATGGTTGAATCGGTTATACTACTGAAAGATGACGCCTGTAAAGTAAAACAATCAAATGTGATAAATTTTCACCTGAAACATGTGTAACTAAGAAGAAGCTTTTTTTTGTTCCTGCAAATCTTTTATTTACTGTATTTCTATTTCAATATTGCTTTACTCCATTCTTACTCTCATTAATTTGATATCACTTGATTCAGGAGCCTAATTTATTTCAGAGATTACCAGACTTTATCTCTGCGACACTTGATTCTTACTCTGCTGATTGGTGGCAGTTTATGTTTCCGCCTCCTTCGCCGATGTCGCCCGTAACGTGAGGAGGATCGGTTGGTTGTTTCCGTTACAGTTGAGAATCGACTGTCATCCTCTGAGTCAAAGAAACTGGTTGTGTCAAGGTCACTACTAGCCATTGTGGACGTGTCGCCGTACATGTGTCGGTGCCTCTCATGTTTAGGGTGTCCATTGTGACGGGGAGCTGAAAGAAAACAAAACAACAATTAAAAATACTAGTGACACTACTGACAAAATGTTGCACTTAATCAAAAAATAACATACTGCTATGCCATGTTACGCCATGAAGTCACAGAGTATCTTTAGAAGAGAACCAGAGAACTAAAACAGTTCTGAAGAAAATTAAATTTGAAATTTATGCTTAGTATAAATCAAGTTTGAGATTTACATACATATTTACGTCTAAGCAAATGGTCATGCCAGTCAATTGTTATTCAAGATCTATAAAATTTTATCACATTAAAGATACAAATAAATTATCTGTTTTGCATATGAATACCTAATTGCCTCTCTAAAAAGCAAATGCACTTAATATCTGATTTTATTGGCATCCTGTTTACATAATAAAATAATGATGTAAAGTACATTCACATAGAATAAGACATTTAAGCTGAAGATTTAAAAACCAAACCTAAAATATTTAAATGTTTGATTCTAAAATATCCCCCGTTAATACACCCACCATCTCTGAAAACAAATAGCAATATGATATTACATATATTTTTTTGGCCTTCTTACATCAGAATTTAAAACATTACGTAAAACCTTACCCATTTTCTTTTTATTTCTCTTATACTTTGCAAATATCTATATTTACTCTATGTGTAGCACGAATATTAATTATTTACTGAATAAGTATGAGGGACTTTTTTTACTTGACAAGCAAATAAGTGATCTGGTGGACTGGTACCATAGAGCATATAAATTATCAAAATTAGTTCAGAAAACATCATCAGTAAACACAGGAACATTCTAATGAACCTGAAACTTCTGCCTAGATCATGATCTTAACTTTAAATCCTTTTTTGGGGGGTATGACTATTTTAAAATGTATTTGTACAAACTGGCTATTCTCTTGTCTGCAACCTTCCTTTTTTAATAATAGCTGCATTAACAAGATAACAACTAAGTAAGATAAATCATTTAAAATGAACATCTTTTAGTCAACTTTACACTTAACAGTTCAATCAAGGTAGCTAATCATATCTGAAGCAGTGTGTATACTTCTTTACTCTGGATCAAGGTGGGGTAATTATAACAAGCCCCGCATGTCTGAAGCTACAATCAAATTAAGTTCATTACTGAGCTTCCCACGGCAAGAAATATCATTCTTGTTCTATTATTCAACATGCATTTGTTTTTATCAAGAAACAACCTTTACGAAGCTGACTAGATGTAAATGCAAAAATCATAAAAAAAATGATTATCCCAAGTAACTACAATTAACATTTCCATTAGATCTTCATTCATATTCCAGTTTATAACAGATGAATGTTAGATGATTGTTTGCGGGGTAAGCAGTGATTGATATTCAGATTAGGTGTTTGATATAAGCAGCAGTGTGTCAGTGGGTAGATGAAGGTTAGGTGCAGACATGGTGGAATATGGAGGCTACACAAAGCTTACCATTAGATTCATTGTTAAGGCGATGGTGGTTTCTATAATGGCTATAACTTTGTCTAGATCGTCCATCTATTGAAACAAAAACATTAGCTACAGACTACTCAGTAAATACACACTGGGGGTTTGTACTCATTCATGTGCACTTTAGGGCTTTTTTGTGATTCAAATAACTTAAAAGTACTGTACAACAAGTAAATATAACTTCAAATTGGGCTGAAAACTATTTTATCCCCCCTTTTCTTCAAAATTCATTATTCCCTTTTACTTTAAAAATTTATCAAAGAAATTCATATTTCACTTTGCATAGAAAATAATTATGATGACAACTTCACATTTCAATCATTTTCATTCATAAATAATCTGCCTTGTTTATATTTTTTTCATCCTGAAAGTTTGTTATTGAATAATTAAATTTTATAATTAAATTTTCCATCTTCATGCAATCAATGCCAATATCATCTTCACGACATCTTGTTTTGTAAACATGTATCAATATCATAATAATTATTTCCAAGATAAAAATCCATTGTAAATTTTAAGAAAACAAACTTTCTACAACAATAAAACATGTTTGTAATTACTAAAACTTGGTAAGAGTCCGAGTTAAAGAGTTTAAGACTCTACCTGTTTGTGATAGCAGACTTTTCTTTAAACTGTCCGAATCATCAATTCTAGAGCAAGAGATTACAAACCAAGCCATCCAACACTATCAATAACAGAGCAATAAACGCACAAACATTTACAAAGACCACATCAGTCACAGTATGTTAATGTGTAGTTCTAAAAGTGAATTCCTCATCCTTTATACACCTTTACTCTACACTTCCAAAAGGTTCCAATAGATATAATGGTCATGTTTGAAAAGCGCAGAAGTTTAAATTCTCAGTCGATAGTATCTGCTTCTCCTTTCCCACTATTCAATCAACTAAATTAGTAAACAACTCTCTCTTTGTCACACATTGCATGCTGGATGGCAAGTAAGGAACAAATACTTTCTGGAAGGTTTAAAAATTTCTCCTGAAGATGAACAGATATGTAATCGTTAGAAAACAGGAAAATTGCACCTTTATCAAAGTCCATCAAAATTGTTTCTACCTCAACGACAACCTGTCTTGTTGATAAATAACACCCCTGTGACCTTATTGAAATTTTTGAAATCACACCTGATATTTAATTTTCATGGAGCAACAATAGGTGGATAGCTGGGTAGTTTACACAATAGGTCCACCCCTTTTGCAGCCCAGTGGTAAATTGTACACCTGTACATGATACCTAACATTAGAGACATGGACTCTGATTTTAAATTTAATCAAACTATTCTTTTATGACATATTCATATACAGAGGTGTTAGAATTTTTAAGCCTGGATTTTTCAAATAGTCAAATGTCTTTTAAGAACCAAGTGTTATTTGTGTCATCAAAGGAGCTTAAGAATTCCAGTAACATGACTAGCCTAGCCATGCTACACTTAGCTGTCTGGAAAATTGAGCAACAGAGAAAGGGGGCAGGGTAGAAATTTTATATCCCTTCTGACATTTGTCAAATCCTTTCACTTCAAAGTGGCCCGCCATATTCATTAACCTATTCTTGGCTGTGGTACTGTAGCCCCATAAAGGAACGTAATATAGACCTAAGAGATAGTGTTCAGAGACAAAATGGAGTATTGATGGTTTATGTCTAAGTACCAGTATTGAATATTCTAATTCCTGGTCTAATTAAATCTGTCTGAGCATGCTAACTGTAGCTGTGTAGCAGATTTTGTTGGTTTTTATCCACATGGAATTTAACCTATGTCACATTTCACATTCTCTGTTGCATCGCTTTAAGGTTGAAGGAACAGATTAAATTAAGATACCAGTATTTGATTCTTTTTCTCTAATGAGCCTAATTCATTCACTCACTTGACCTCAAATCTGCAAGTTGAACATTGTTACAAGTGAAGAAAACTGAAAGATGAATCTTTGAAAAAACACCTCCACAACTTATTCTACATTATAAATCTCAATTTTGTTCTTAGATTCTGGGATTAATGTTTTGACTAATATTCTGAACATAAATGGAAGAATGCAGTTTTCAGACATCTCTTATTTATAAATCTATGGCAAACAATAAGGTGATTGAATAAATACTGTTTATCTTGAGTATGAATTTTGTGTCAATCATAAGTCTTAAATTTGATATAAGGAGTTTAATTTCATCAGATTCTTATACTGAATAAATAGATCAAAGATAGAACTGTCTTAGTTTTCCAATATCTGCAAAGAAAATTATCCCAACTGTTTCAGTAGACAGCTGGATCAGTGAATGCTCAGTACAAAGGCAGATAAAGACATCTTATCTTAACTGGGAAAAGGTATGGGGAGAAAAATTTACATTTAATACTGGCGAAAATCCCTCTGAAGACTTAATTCCTAGTGATCATATCGCTTGGCAAATATTTAATGATCAACAGTTGATTAAAAGCCAGGTTTCTCACATATCCTTCATAAAGATGACAATTGAGAGTTCAATCATTGTTTTGTGTATATTTACTTTTGTAAACAGTCATAGGTTTGGGGGATTAGTAGGTCTGTTGTAAAGTTTATCAGGCTGTCAGAGTAACTGTGTAACCATCTCAAGCTGTTCTAGAGATGACTTAACCCAACAAAACTATCTTTAAAAAAGCACTCCCCATGTTTTGTTCCCATTTTCCTCATTTATATTCAAGTAGATATTTCTAAAAGCCCTATAATGTTCCTCAACACAAAGTTACAATCCATTACTAGATGAATTACTATTTCAATTTGTTTTTCTTTCCACAGCATAAACATCTTGATGGCTGTTAAGGGATTTAAAAAATATGCATATGTCAATTTCCTGCCAGATCAAATATTTGCTGCATTGCCAATGAAACAAAAAATGCTATTTTTATACGAATCACTACTGTTTGGAGCCATTTAATTGCAGAAGTTTTGAAATGATCTGCATTAAACTGTGATGCATATCTATAACCTATTAAAATATTTTATGCACTTAAAACACCTAAAAATATTTTTAACAGAAGATGAAAATATGTTTTAAAGTATCCATTTACAAATATAAAACATGAAAATGACAAAATGGCAAGGCTGCAAAGTATTTTTGATTACATAAAATCTTGAATGTTGGGATAAGACCTAAAGTAACTGCTCATTAAAAAAATTAAAATAAATGCACACCCCTGCACATAAATTGCCAATTCTAAGCTTATAAAATCAAAAAATCCCTTACACGTGAATTTAAATGAGAAAACCATACTGAGACATCACATATATAGAAAGGCAATTCTACTTATTCTCATGGTCAAATGACAAGGACAGCAGGGATTAAAAAGTTCGTTCTTCCTCTGTTCACTCATACAAAAAATTGCGTTAATGCTTATATTTTTAAAAGAAATCAACTATATATTTAAACTGCACACAATTTCAGGATAAATATATGACAAAATATTACTAATATAGTCTTTTTAGGCTACCTAAAATTGAAATTCTGGTTCTCAGGCCCGCACGCATCCATTTTGAGGTAGCCGCATTGCCAATTTTATTGTATTTTTGATAAAATACAAAGTTGGAATTGCGGAGACCAATCCAGAAAAAAAAGTTCTGTCCTAATTTTTTTGTAGTTTAGTATTCAAATATCACTTCCGGTAGCCATTTTCAAAGAGATTTTGGCTACTTCGTTTGAAAATACATTCAAAGACATTGCCTACGATGTTCACACGCTGATAAGCAATGGATAAAGAATACCTTTTAATCAGACATGGAAGGTATATCTGTGATTAAAAAAATATCTTTATTTTATAGAAAATTCGAAAATTAAAACTAAAAAAATACTTCCCTCATCTACTTTATTGCCAATAAAATGATAAAATGCCTCCTTCCCGCATATGTTTTGGAGAAAATTGGCCTGAGAACCAGAGAATTAAATTTAGATAGCCTCAGATGACAATTTTTAGAGCAATAATAAACATTGATTCCAATGGAGTTGTCTCCCATATCAGAGTGTCAATGAACCTTCATCCTTAGAATTTAGTCATGAGTTTTTATTCTATTATAGACCCGAACCGAAAAACCCGAAACCAAACCTAAAAAATTGAGAACCCACCCGACCTGAAAAAATTATGGAACTGTTACAGCCCTAGCCATCAACCTTTTAATTGTCACTGGCCCAGAATAATATTTACTTGCCTGTGTTAAAAGAGAACCCTTTTGCCAAAATTTCTCAAGAAAATGCCACATTATGTGACAAAGGAAACAATTTACACAATGTAAATGTAGGAATCCACTTTTTGTATTACAAATTATTACAAAAATATCTACTCCACAAAATCTTGTAGATCTATATCAATAGTTGCAATTTTAAAATATTTCATTTTTAAATCTATGAATTAAAGTTAATATTTTAGTACATAGTTAATATATGAAAATGTAACCACATGCATAGGGGGAATCCTGTTCCTTTTGTTCATTGGGATGCAATTGAATCAAGTTAAGATCTGCATTGTAAAATAATTTAAATATAGGGCAACCACAAAGATTCCACTAAATCTGAAAAATACAGCCAATCAAGATTTGATTCAATAAAAACTTGGTTTTGATCAACAAAGTGACTGTGCATGTTTTAAGCCAGATGCAAGCATAACAAATACTACACTTAGCATTTTTTTAAATTTTATATACATGTTCAAATGCATTTCAAATTCTAATATATAGTAATCAGTAAGTGCCGCTACCACACTGAACCCATAGTGACCACACTGTATTAAAGGCATCACTGAAAATAATTCTACCAAAGAGCACATTTCAAACAATTCATTCATTTTCAGTACATGACATATTTACCAAGTGGGGCCTTGAAATTTACAATTCTGAAGATTTATAATACTATATACATTCATCTGCTTAAAACCTAGGAGCAAAGAAGAAAATATTCAAAGATTTAATGTTTTTTCACTATACATGTATAATCAATACATGTGGGGCCATAAAAGTCACAATTTTGGCAGAGGCATCATCATAACTATGTACAAAAGAGTTTATTTAATAACATTGAAACAAGATTTTCAAAGAATTCATGTATTTCCTCACAGACAACTGAAAGGGCCATAAAATTCACAATTTTGGTAGTACTCTTGTGATCATAACTATGTACTTAGTTAGTTTATATAAAACCTAGGAGCAGAGAAGAAGATTTTCAAAGAATTCATGTATTTTCACACAGCCCCGCCCTAAAACCAGAACCCCTGACCCTGGGGCATAAAATTCACAATTTTGGTAGCACTCTTGCTCATCATAACTATGTACTTAGTTAAATTATATAAAATCTAGGAGCAGAGAAGATTTTCAAAGAATTCATGTATTTTCACTACATAATCAATAGAGCCCCACCCTGAACCCCTGACCCTGGGGCCATAAAATTCACAATTTTGGTAGAGGCACTCTTGCTCATCATAACTATATACTTAGTTAGTTTATTTAATACCCAGGAGTAAAAAGATTTTCAAAGAATTCATGTATTTCCTTCTACACACTAATAAAATTCACAATTTTGGTGACATCATAATATGTCTTTAGTTTATTTAATACCCAGGAGCAGAGAAGAAGATTTTCAAAGACATAATGCATTTTCACTATATACATTTATGGGAATACCCCACCATGAATTTCACAAGACTCAATGCTGATTACAATCATGCAAACAGTTTGACTGCTTGATGTCCAGGAGTAAAGAAGAAGATTTTTGAAGATTGCATTAATTTTTGTTTTGGCCCCACCCCCCCAGGCCCCAGGGGGGCAGGGATCATGAAATTCACAATTTTTGTTCCCCTTCACCCATAGATGCTTTGTGCCAAATTTGGTTGAAATTGGTTCAGTGGTTACAGAGAAGAAGCTGAAAATGTTCAAAAGTTTACGACCGAACGACGAACGATATTACGTACGACGAAGACGGACGACGACGGACAAAAACAGATAGCAATAGGTCACCTGAGTGACTCAGGTGACCTAAAAACTTGGTTTTGATAAGGAGTGCAAGGTGCAAATAACAAATACTGATTTTTTAAAATTTTATATACATGTTCAAAGGTTAAATTCTGATATATAGAGTAAAAACTGCCATAGCGACCCACTGTATTAAACGACTCACTGAGAATAATTCTTTTTCCTAGGTCTAATGACATATTTACCAAGTCCTATCCTGATTTATAATACTTATTACTGTTTGGAGACTAAGTACGACTATGTGAAATTGTGAACATCTCACCAACAAAAGAGCTAAACATAACATTGAAACAAATTTACTGTCAGAGACAACTGAAAGATGCTATCAAGGAGTAGTGATTTGGCTGTTTTCTGCCTTGAAATAGTTCATATTAAGATAGGCATTATGATAGCCAAAGATTTGTGGGAGCAATCTTTCGTATATAAATTTTAACTGATGTTAATGTAGTGTATATAACTCTGTAGATTTGAAAGTTTTTATGATCTTCTACACACTAAGACTAAGTGACATCAATCATGTCTTTAAGTAATGGCATCAACATTTATGGGAATAACCATCTCAAGAATTGATTTTTCAAATCAAGAAAATGGAAATGCAATCTTACAGAGTGATCAGTGGGACCCAACTGATATTAAAAGACCCGACTGACACAGTATCTGATACTTTAGAGTAAGCTTGTCTTTGAATTAATATTTTCTTTTTTCAAATCTGGTTGAAAAGCGTATCATTTGAAGGCAATTCAAACAAGTATCTCAAAATCCAACATGCAAGTTCTAATTCTATAAAATCACACTGTAACTGTTAGGGCTGGATCAATATATCGGTAATCGGTATATATTTTTTTTACATAATCGATAGCATGCGTATTGCTTGATTATTTCAATGTTTAATTTCAAAGTGACTAATATTACGAACGACTTATCTAAAATCGTTTAAACGCATGTAAACATGTCAAAAGTGTAGGGTCGCTACGTAAAAGTTAGCAGCAAAAAGGCAAAATGTAATTATATTTGTCAACAAGAAGTCGCAAGTTCTGGTGGAACAACGAGCCTATATATTATTAATCTCAGATGGCATCGCAACATTGACCTGTTTGCTACTGTGAAACTTGGAGGCAATTCCAAAAAAAGTCATGGAATGTAAACCGATAATAAGATATCAATCAGAATTTTCATTAATAAGTCATAGTTTATTTTAACTCAAAACAATTTGGTAAAATATTTTATCTGCCATTACTTCCACGAATACGACATCAAGTGAAGTATCAACACAGTCAAACAGGTCATTGTTGTGATGTCGTCTGTGGCTTCAGAACGAGTATTTAGCACCAGTGGCAACATATTTACATGCACAAGGACTTGTCTGAAACCTGACTAAGCGGATCGATGCTTTGATTTTTCTGAAAAATATATGGGCAAATAAGATTAATCTGTCATACACTTGTCCATTCAAAGAGAATGAAAAAAAAAACAAGGATTTAAAACGTATTATTATTGGAAATTTATGCTTTAATAAAAAAAATACTATCACCTCTTTAAAACAACATGCAAAAAATAGTGTATTCTCATTTGTCTGTATCGGCAACATGTATTGCATATCGCACCTCTGTATTGCAATATGTATCGTATCGAAAAATTTCTTCCAATACCCAGCCCTAGTAACTGTGTGGTGCAGATTTACACAAAAAATATTTTTGTCAAGTGATTTTTAAATAATGGTATTCGAACTTTCTACTCTACTTACACTATATGAGTACATGATACATAAATTAAATTTCAAACCATGCAGTGCATTAACATATACTACTTATATTATACACTACAAATATTACAGGTTTCTCCCAGAACTCACCTCGGCGCGAGCTTAGAACTGAATCAGTTTCTGTGCAGGTATCACAGGTTTGGTCACGACTGACAACAGATGCATTTGCACTACAATGAGAAGCAAAATATTATCCAAAATTCAGGAAATGCTTGGAGAATCACAGGAAAAATCCAATATGGTGTGAAATCAGATGTACATACATGTACAAATGTGTTGGAAAATAATTTTTGCTATATTTATTTATATAGTCCAATTATTATAATTGAAAATGAACATGTATAAATATGATAATGTCTTTTTTTTTCAACTGTAATCCTTTACTACTTTGATATCTTGATCTACTCTTGTATATGAATCTTCTGAATAAACACAACTTCAAGGTTATAACCATGTATTCTCATGTCAAACAATCATACACATAGGGAGAAAAGAAAGAAAGAAAAAAAAAAGAGATATATTTTCAAAGCTTATTTCATAATTCTATTCCTTGGTTTATTAACATTATCAGCAGCTCTTTGACATTTTATGGTTAGGCCTACAGGAGTTATCTATCTTGACTGACCAGCTTTAATCATTATGACACTTACTGAAATGACGGTGGTCTACTGTCTCCTATACCGCCCACCCTCTCTGGTGGAACATGAACATCACCTGTCCCTGAATCTGTGCACTGGGACTGAGTATCAGATGTACTGTTCTCTGCAGGAACAAGCTGTAATATCAAAATCCACACAACACATTATATAGTTATATCACTGTAATACAAATATCTGGTGAAATCTGTTGTTTCTCATCAAAATTTACACTCTTAAATGTTTTTAAGACAATAAACTCCTCAGACTCCAAGAAAAAAAATTTCAACCCATTATGAAGATGTCTGTTATTACGTAACACTTGAGTGTTTTACATCAATCAGCTTTCAAGATATTTCTCTCTTTGGCTGACATAACTGACATTACATGGCATAATTAACAACAAATGTTTTAAAACTGATTTCTTACCCATGAAACAACACGTCCATTGAAACATGGTAACCTAGCTTCATCATCAATGATCTCTTCTTTTACAACCCTAAAACATCAAGTGTAATTCAATTTAATAAAACACTTTAGACAGTAAATAAAAATATATTTTGACAATGAAATCAGACAGTACAATAGGTTAACAGTGTCCATCCTAACATTTCAAGTGGAAAAAAACAATTCAGTATGCATTTTTTTTTTAATCATGCCATGTTTAAACTATAATTAAGACAATTTTAATTTAAAAAATAGAATATGTATAAACACATCTGTAATTGTGCTTAAATATTTATCTAAATACTTCATAATCTGCAAGTCCAGAATTTAATCAACAGATTTTTTATGATCACTGCTTACATGGCTTACATGTACAAAATATATAATGTATGGAAACATTATTAAAGCTAATTCTGCTTTCTTATACATTAATTTGAACAAATGCTATCATTATTATCCATGTTCTAGATTCCTTTGCTTTTTCACCTAAAGTTGACTTCTAATTTTAAAAACCAAACCATTATCATGATTATAAATAATACATTAACACATTTTTATATATGACATCTATGTTGCATCTATTACGATTTATCTATTTAACTAAAACTTAGTAAAAGAAAAATTAAAGTCATACTCATACATTACCAGAATAAAACCATTGTTGGAACATGCAATTTTATCAGAAATACAGTTAAGTTAAACATGTGAGCATACTAAATTTTTTACAATCACTTACTTATGTAGGTGTTTTTTTTAAATTCGCTCCTTTCTGCTAATTTGTTATGAGAAATAATACCAATACCCATTCCACTGAGTAAGATTTATTTTAGGGACAGACGATACAAACTTTTACAAAATTTTTTTTTGAAGTATTGTAACCATGTTAGTCATAATTACATAAGTAAAATGAATAAGTTTAACCCCATAGATTTAGATTTTTATTCAAAGCTTTGCAGTTTTGAATAATGTGATTTTAAGCAACAAAATATTGTTTAGATTAATGAGGAGGGGTTGCAGAAAGATAGAATTGTGAATATCATAGAAAGTTTACAAATTCTTACTATCTTATAAATTTATTACTTGCATCATGTTTACAATCAAAATAGGTTCAGAAAATATATACCAATCCCGGCATTCATTTTTTTTTTTTGTATCATCTGTCTGTAGAATGATTTATTTAATCTTGATGTGATGTTTATAAAGAAGAAGGTACAGTTTCAATACAAATTAAGCCCAATATTTTTCTAAAATATAAAAGTCATATAAGAAATTAAAATTCATTCTTTCTGGATCATAGGAATTATGTGCAGTAAGAATACACAATTGGTTTTTCTCATATGACCTCCTAAATGCTAATTGTGACGTCATTAACTTGTGCATTTTCCCGTATTTTCTTAAAAAGTTGCAGAAGACATCAATTTTCAATGGAATTTTCTTTCAGAAAACATACTCTGCCACCGTCACCCGGAAAGATTTTGAGATATGTGATTTTTCAGAGCAGTTTACACAATATATCCAAAAATTAAAGCTTCATATGGATTATTTTCTAAAGGAAAATTAGCAGAAAAACGAGGCAATTTGAAGCTTTTCTGCATTAAACTTAAAAATGTAACAAATTTATGACGCCATATTTCAAGAAAGTCCCTTCCTCATCCCATATTCTTTAATGATTTATCATATCTATCTACTCAACTATTGTTAAAGCCAATCTCATGACTTTTTAAGAGCATTAAATCTTAAGGGCACAATAAAGCTCAAACCGTACCGTTTTCTTTGTTATCATTGGTTATATTTAGCTTCTCTTTTCAAAATCAGCTCTGCAATCTTGATATATTAAAATTTTCAACTAATTTTCAGAAGTACATGATGGTTTAAATCCTATTTAGGCCATTGCATATGTAAGTATCAATGTTGGGCATATACTTTAACAATTTAATGATGAGCAAATGGAAATTGGTTATTTCAGTGAGATTTGCTGAGACTAAAAGAATTGCACTGTCTTCGTTTTCAAAATCTCATATGAGATCCAAACAAAGTGATTTGAGATATACTGAACTTAGATAGAACATTCCATCATTAAATACTGTTAAAATGATATTGTCCTATGGACCTGGTTTAACGATAGACTTTGTTCCGTGTATTTGCAATGTAGCAAAATAAATATGGGCGATAACTCATACTCAGTGCACTTTCAATGAACAATCCAGAGAGTTCCGAATGTAAACATGGTGTGTAAACACTGTGAAAATTAATTGAATTTTCATCTTCATATGGATTATTTTTTGGGGAAAAAAGGCATACATAATCTCAAAAAGGTCTGTTATGATTAATTTGGTAGTTAATTCAAGTGCAACCCCTTTTGTATTCTTTGAACTCATTTCGGCATGGACACGCTCAGATTATCTACATTGAAAGTATACAGGACATATTCTAACTTTGATGAGGGCTTGTCCCGAGACACAGATCATTCTAACTGACCACTTGTTACGATCATGATGGGCCAGATTCAATTTAAAAAATATATACGAAGCTTAAGCCTCAAAAGTTATGAAAATAAACTTTTGACATATAACATGCACTTTAAGAATTCAAATCCTAGAAGTGTTTAATTTTTAGCACACTGGTTGAGCTAGTGGGTTGAGCAGCACACATGAGGTGTAAAATGCATGAAGTTCAGTCATTTTATTGATTGTATTCTGCTTAAAATGACAGTGTTACTTGGACCAATACAATCATCTCCATGCACAATGAACATGCAGACCACAACGAAACTCACCCAAAGTCATCATCCACACTTTTGAAAAAGAATTTATAATTCGGTCGATTCAATGCATTCTTAAAATCGCCTAACGTAACTCGATCAGCAGGTATTGGTAGCTTAATTAGATATGGAGTATCTTCATCGTCAATATAGTATATAATTTTTGTTTCTTCCATCCCGAAGGAAGGAGAAATCTAGAGAAAATTCCACAATGACTGTTTACAATTAAAATCAAAATGGCTGCCCCGTAGATCTCTTAGTAAGTGAACCGAAGGGAAGGTATTCTTGATTCCGAAAATCGGTCTTGTATGAAAAAATAAGACTCAGAATTAATTATATTTATGGAAGAAATTTGAAATTCAATGACGATCATTCATTTTTATGAGGTATAAGTTTTGTCTTAATGTTAACTATCAAAAGAAATTTTATGAAACACTCAATTAAAAATCCGTTTCCGAAAGATTCCTTATGACCCTCATTTTAAAGTGCGATGACAAATGCTGAATTTTTTTTATGCCAAATTGAAATATCCCAAGAAATGTATTTAACGAAACAAACATAATATTTTGCATATAATAACACGATGCAAATTTTAACACATGTGTACATTGATGAAGCGTTTGAATTTTCATAAATGCAACATTCTACAAGGGCGTATGTAAGCTGACGGAAATTTCTGTAAACAAAAAGTATCATAAAATGTTGCGTCCACCAAATACTCCATATTGACAAAATGTTAATTCAAATAAAAAAAATTAGGTGAAAGAAGAACATTTAACATGATTTCAATACGTAAAACTAGCATTTTCGAGGACTCTTCATTTTATTTACTGCTGAGATGAAAATTCTACTTCCGGTACATTTTTCCCATATCAAAAATGAGAAACTGTCAGACTTTGTCTCCTTAAAACGCTGTTCATGATAAGACAGTTTGTCAAGTGTAGCAGTCAGGTAATATTCATGTTTATGTGTAGATTTCTTAAACAGTTCATATTGCAGTATTTTCATAAGCTTGATCAACAGGTGAATAGAATGTGTCTGATTGAATGTTAAGCCCTATTTATTATTTTTTTTTAAAACTATTTCTTTCAGTATTTTGAGCGTTTTATGTCTTAAAAGTTGATATGGGAAATGCTTAAAGTTGCTTTATCCAGTTAAATATACTTTGAAAGGATAAAATCACCGCAGATATGAGACTTCTATATAAAGTACTGTCATGTATTTTGGTTTATGAACACTGCAATGAATCTAAACTTTTGAAAAGGTATTTAAACTCATAATTAAGGCAGTTTGAAGCATGACTAACCCATAATTATGATAAAACAGTCCTACTAATTAGAGAACCCTAGAGAATATCATACCTGTCAACATGGCCAAAATTTTTCGGGGGAGAAAATGCGCGACGACCCTTTGCAAATACAAAAAGTCGCGCATTTCACTGTTTTATAGAACAAAAATAAACAACTTACAAGATAAAACTTTATTAGTAATATTAACATTATCATTAATTCACAACATTTACTTACTGTTTATTCATACATTGTTTAGAAACTCGTACAATGTGACTTAATTTTGAAATTATAAAAATTTATGTTCACTATATATTCTGCCGGTCCATAAGAGCACCATTTATATAATATTCATGGCAAATGCTGTAGTTTAACTTGGGAATTAGAAAAATTAATAAGGTTCTGCAGATAGTCTGAGTTTCCAGCTTTTACTAGATGTATGAATGGATATTTCTCTCCAAGTCTAAGGAACATGAGTTGTGTCCTGGATTTAAAGATCTGAAATTGAAATAATTGTCAAAACTTCATGCTTATATTCTTAAAATAATTTGTAATCTAGTATGAATGAAATACATGGACACTGTATTTTTTTTCTTTTAATCTCATAACATATATCAGAATTTTTAAATATTAGACTTTATTTCTATTAAATGTGCAAATTTTATATTTTAATTTAGAAATGCATTACCCTGTTTAGCTTTGTAAATTTAAAGAAGTCTTCTAAAGACACTGTCTTGTTGCTCTGTAGTTTCAGGGGCTGTTATATGCTGATGTTGATGCAGATTTACTAAGACATTGAATATCAAAATCTGTGGGGAAATCTTCAGACTCTTCATTTATATTAGCTTCCATGGAATTATTTCCCTCTCCTTGTTAAATTAATAATAGAGTACTGTAGCTACATCTTTCCTGATCACTGTATTGTTTATGGAGAAATAGTTTTGTCTTAGGTACTTGTTAACTTGTTTGCAGCAAAGTATCAAGTACTTCCATATCGTTATTTACCGTCATGTTCTGTAAAAATTTTCACATCTGGCATCTCTGTCTTTGATAATATACACTTTTAATGAGAATAAGGAGCAATTACAACTGTAATCACATCTGCTAGCACAGTTGACACCTTGTTGATAACCTGTTATCAGTGGCAATAAACAGAATAGCTACCGATAAACACTGCATGACTTCCATTTTTGTGTTGACTAGTCGGTATTTTACGAACCCAAGTAGGTAAAAAATCCGGATTTTTTCAAAATCGGTAGAAACGTCCGTTAAAAAAAAATTCGGTAGACAGTCGGTAGGGATGGTTAAAAATCGGTAGACTCCCGATAAATTCGGGAGAGTTGACAGGTATGGAATATGGAAGGGAAATTTACTGCCAAAAGTCTATGTATCTTGCTTTTATTCTTATTTTGCCTACTTCTTTATGCTTTGTTATTATTGTAATTATATGTCACTTTGATGTTTTCATATTCGTCTTTATTAAATTTCACTTCGAACTTTTATCATTCTTCATTTTGTCCTTACTTCTATGTTGCTTTATTCATTCTACTTTCTTTTAAACTTATACAGTTTCATAAATAAATTATTAGGATTATCTCTACTCCGAATGTTAATTCAATCACGCAAACAATGAAGCATATTCAATGAAGACGAATGGAAGTTGTCAAACCGTCAAAATTTAGTGCGGCATTATAACGTTAGGTGGTTTGGTGTACGCTACGAGTGTTGGTAAAACTAGGTAAGCAAACCGGGCTGGGGTTATTTGAGATTCTTCAATACGCGTTAATACTTTATCAATCGAACTTCTGAAGACCTGATCCGATTTCACCCGATCCAATGATGGAAACTCCATAATTATTTATTTTCTCTGGGCACACAGGAATGGCGGCCTCTTTTTTCAGACATAACTTTATACCATAATGAATATATTCATTGAAAGGCCGACCCACGTTTTGTAAGAGTAAGGGTCAAATAAGTTAATGGAGTACGTTTAGTAGGAAGAAAATTTAAATTTGATTCTATAGAAGAAGTTGAATCTAACCCAAAACCCACCCCGCCCCCGAAATAGGATTTCATTGGCGTCAGAAGCAAATTGAAAGTTGGGGGAGGGGGGCTGCTAAGTGTAAGAATTTTTTTAGACCTTGAAAAAAAACCTGACAAGAAAAAAAAAAGAAAAAAAAAGAAATGTTCATTTTCCAAACACAAAAATCCTAATTCTGGGGGGGGGGGGGGATGTTTTTAGGTTCAAACTCCAGTGCCAAATTTTTTTCAAAACACCACCACTTTCCCCATTTCAAACCCATACTGCATCGTGTCCATGGAAGGGGGGGGGCTAAACCTACGCAGGAATGTTCAATGTCTATACATGTACTAAATCTATCTTCAGAAAAAAAGAAGTGGGGGCTAAGCCCCCCCCCTTCCCAGTTCTGACGCCTATGTATTTTCAAGTTTGGACAGTTTCCTGTTTTTTTTTTTTTTGCTTGTCAAGTTGTTTTCAGCTGGGTAGCCGCCTGAATTTTTATTCTCTTGTTGCCCCCCCCCCTCCCCACTTTCAAAAGCGATGCTAGGTCACTGTTCTCTCACCTGAAAAATATAACTCTATTAAAGTTATTTGTTGGATAATTGAATTCCAGTTTAATTGACATAAAAATTTTACTATCTTTAGTATGCACCGTATTTGTCATCAGCCAGGAGAGCTCAAAAAATCTTAAAACTCGAAAATTCTATTTGGTGGAGGTAAAGGGGGGGTGGGGGGAGGTCGTCAACTTTTTTTCAGTACTAAATTTTACTCATATGCATGCCATTAAATCATTTGAACCATTTAGTTAAACATAGATAATCTTCACGAGTACATATGGATAATGACTCTTCCCCCCCCCTCCTGGGTGCAGTCGCCCGAGTGGCACTGTGGTTACGGCATCTGCTCTAGAGTCACGAAGTACATTTTTAAGGAGTCGATCAATACGTCATGGGTTCTAATCCCACTGTAGGACGTGGATTCGGTCATTCGGTTGAGATATAGACCGTATTATAAGTTCCCGTGTCGCAGTAGGTGCTGGCACAAAAAAAGATCCCTCACTGCTCAATGGCTATAAGTGCCGAGTATATAGGACAAATTTGCAGCTCTCCACCGGCAAGAGGTGGCTTCTCCATTTGAGTGAAAAGTTCTCGAAGGGGACATTATACAATGTACAATCACAACCCCAAGTCTCAATATATTTACTGACTTCCAGGTGGACGACCTCCTATGGGTTAAGTTTCACCGGTAGAGGGGAGAGTGGCCACGAAACGTTTTCTTAAACGTAATTTTTTATTACTGGAAAAGTTCAGCGAAAGGCTTGTTGCCCCCATCCCTTACACTTTTTGTTGCAGTACTAATAGTCAATTTATATATTAAAAGTCATGTACTTAAAAACTGAAAACGTTAGTATATAAACATTGTTTTACGATTAAAAAAACTATTCGGGGGAGTGGTTGATATGAAGGGTGCGAATTGCTATATATAGCCAGATTTCCCACGGAAGACTAGCTATATATTGAAACTTCCCCGGGGCAGGGGAAGTCCCACTGTATAGTCTTCCGAAGGAAGCATCACTATGTAGTCAGTCTCCCAGGGGAAATCTTACCATCTAGCGAGACTTCCGAGGGAATGGCATGTATCGGGTACATACAGTACCTGAACTTATAACAAACATCAGTCATTTGAAAATCTAAGTTCGATTGATAAAGTAGTAAGGCAGAAAATTGAAAAATGTCGAATAACCCCGGCCCGGGTTTGCTTACCTAATTTTACCAACACTCGTAGCGAATACCCCTGCCACCTAGCGTTATAATGCCGCACTAAATTTTGACAACTTGTATTCGTCTTCATTGAATATGCTCATTGTTTGCGTGATTGAACTAACGTTCGTAATAGAGATCATCATTTAAGAAACTGTATCAATTTAAAAGAAAGTAAAATGAATTAACAAGAATAAAGCAACATAGAAATAAGGGCAAAATGAAGAAGGATAAAAGTCAAAGTGAAATGTAATAAAGACGAATATGAAAACAATAAAGTGACATATAGTTACAATAATAACAAAGCATAAAGAAGTAGGCAGAATAAGAATAAAAGCAAGATACATAGACTTTTGGCGGTAATTCCCTTCCATAAGAGAACTCTAAAGAATCATATAGAGCTCTAGCTATATTAGACGATCGATCAAATAAATATTCTGCAAAATTGAGCTATTAATCACATATTAATATGTATTCTAATCTATACTAGTCAATTTCATCCCAATATATCATCTAGTGACAAAAAAGGGGATGTCAACTTGTAACAAACTCTGAATTTTTTGTTACAAGTTAGATATATGGCAAGAAATAAGATGGCACTAATTTCTTTCCATATATGGATTTAATTTTGTTAACCTAGTAAGTTACTATACTAGACTGATATGTTGAGGGGTTTTACACACAGACTTGATGGAGGTTGGATTGAGGGTTGTCCGAGGCCCTGACTGGAAGTGGGGGAACCAGGACGATGGGGAGGGTCATGTGGGGACCGTGGTGGAAATAGGAAAACCAGGAAGCTCCACCTCACCAGACAAAACAGTGGTCGTGCAGTGGGACTCTGGCTCCAGGACAAACTACCGTGTGGGCTATCAAGGAGCATATGACCTCCGAGTGTTGGACAATGCACCAATAGGTATAAAAATAGACGTATCATGTTAACAAAGTCGTACTAAGAATTAAGAAACCATCTATAAATTTGCATCAGTTGAGATGAGCGTGATGTTGCTGTGGCAAATATGCTTAAAACAATTTAATACAATTAACAGTTTTGATAATTTTAGATAGAATTCAGTTTTATTGTCATTTATAGATTATCATATATATGTTATAATTTGTTTTGGTTTTGACAGGTGTAAAGCATCAAAACATAATATGTGATGCCTGTAAGAAACAAGGAATCCAGGGCATGAGATGGAAGTGCACCAAATGTCACGACTTTGACCTCTGTACAGCCTGTTATATGGCAGACAAACATGATCTGGGGCATGCCTTTCTCAGAATAGAAAATGCTGCTTCCAGAGGGTAAGTGATTGTCCCAAAATATATATCATTAAATCATTAGAAACAGACAAACACACTCATTGGATTATTTAGAGTCTTTGCTGCGTTCGGGAGTATGATATATCAGTAGTCATATCTGCAACTCTTATTTATTAAAATATTCTATCATGAATTGATTGTAGTGAAAAGATGCCAAAGAGAAGGGACACTCAGAATAGCACCAAACTGCAGTCCTATGGCATATTCGCTGGTGCTAAGGTCATAAGAGGGCCGGATTGGGACTGGGGAAACCAGGACGGTAGGACCACCAAATATTCCTACTTTTACTTTCTCTTCAAGGATGAATTATGTTTAGGCCTAAAATAAAATTAAGTTTGTTTGCAGTTGCCTACCGACCCACTGAAATTGCACCCAACCCAAACTTTTTTGTAGCCATTTTGTAATTTGATTTTTTTTTCCAATTTTTCAGAATAATGAAACCGTTTCTTTTTTCAAATTTTGACACGTTTTTTATCATTCAGTAGTTTGTAACAAGAGGTGAGCTTATTCATGTCTAGTAGGTGTATGAAAACCTCTTTTAATTGTTATCTAACAAAAATCTGATTTTTTTTTCCAAAAAAAAAAAAAAAAAAAAAGAATGCCTACATACCGACCCAGTCTAAAAATTATAGGTCGGCAACTGCAAACAAAGAATTTTTTAAGCTTGGCCTTATTCAGTTTAGATCCTTAGAAATGTGAAACATTTGATCAACTAAGTTTATAAATTATACAGACTCTAAGGAAATATGTCTTTAATCTGTCACAGGTGGAGAGGGGAAGATAGGTAAGACTACCGACATACGAGGATGGGACTCGGAATCAGGTCGGAGTGTGGCTCATGTGACCTGGCAATCTGGGTCAACCAACGTATACAGAGTGGGACATAAAGGGAAGGTGGACCTGAAATATATCAGTGCTGCCCCTGGCTGGAGTTACTACAAGGAACACCTACCTGTTCTAGGTAAACTAGGTACATATGTAACGAGGATCAACAGAGGGGTGATGTCAATGTCCGTGGAAAGGATTAATTAGAGATGATATCTTGTGAACTCAACATTGTTTAAATTCTGTGTGTTGAAATATCTTTCACTAAATTTCATACTTTTAGAATATCTATTATGAAATTCATCTTGTAGGAGAGTTTCCAGATGTTGTTGCCCAGGGTGGGATTCCTTGCCAGTTCAAGGTTGGTGATAAAGTCCGTGTTGACTTAGATGCAGATATTCTAAAGTGCATGCAGGAAGGGCATGGAGGATGGAACCCACGCATGGCTGAGGTAGACACTCTTATTTGCTACTAAAAACTTTATTGTTGTTTATGAGAGTATTTTAAAAAGAAGAGTATTAACACTAATACAATATTGTGAGATTTAATGTGTATTATGATCTTTGATTCTATGTGTTCTGTTTAGTACATTGGGAAAGTTGGCACTGTCCACAGAATCACAGAGAGGGGTGATGTTAGGGTACAGTATGAAGGGTGTACCAACAGGTGGACATTTCATCCTGGGGCACTCACAAAGGTAGGATCTAATGACAAAAAAATCCTCAGTATTTAAAGTGTAAATTTTATCTTAGGCTGACTTTCACAGGAACATATAACTAAAGTCACTACCAGTAATTCAAAATTTGTTTGTTAATCAGGTGCATGTTTTTGCTGTCAATGACTGTGTTAGGATCTCGGACAATATACATCAGGTCAAAGAACTTCAAAAAAGTCATGGAGAATGGACAGAGAATATGAGAACTGTAAGTAACCACCACAATGTTGTAGCCCTACAGGTACATTCAAAGTGTGGGATTTCTATCCTCCCATCCTCCTTCCTTCATTTTCCCTTTTTAATTAAATTTTTAGTTTTTAATGTTTAATATTCAGCTACATTAGAAGTCTCTGTATACTACAATTAATATTTATTACATAAACACTTGTTTCAGACCCTTGGAAGAGTGGGGAGAGTGCTGAAGGTGTACGCTGATGGTGACCTTCGAGTTGCAGTGGCCAATCAGACATGGACTTTTAACCCAGCTTGTTGTTCTATAGTTCCTTCAATAGAACCAGACATCAATAATACCAATGGAGGACATGATCAGCATGATCACTCCAGTAAGTCACCTCTAAAGAATATTATTTCATGCTCATGATTTGTTAAGGACAGTAAAGTGCAATTATGAATCCAGTGCTTAATATCTGAATGATATTAATTTCATGTAAATTATTATTTTTACAGCTACTCTGTCAGATTTACTGGAACAGTTGATGGACATAAGGGCAGATACCACTGGTCCCGAGAGATTGGTTAGAGAGGCAGCTCAAGGTCACGCAGAGGCTGTCAAGGACATTGTCACGAAACACCCAGATAAAGTAAGCGAGGCTTCCTAGGTGATTATTAATGATAACCTCGTACAAATGGGTGTATGGTACTTGTCTGTTAGAAAAAATTGTTTTAATCATTTATTCTTTACCAAAAAATATTTTGAACTTTGTCAGATTTAGATTATAAACGATTATTGAAACATTAATTAAGGAATTTTTACGTGTTTTTATAATACAGGTGGACCAGAAGAGCTCGGGGAAGTCTGCACTACAAGTGGCCAGTCATCAGGGACACAAAGAGATCGTCCAGATCCTGCTCGCTCACAACGCTAAACTCACCGTACAGGATGAGGATGGGGACACAGCTCTCCATTACTCAGCCTTCGGGTCAGTCTGATAAGGAGAGGATCACCGTGGGTCATTTAGAGATCAATCTAAACACAAAGATCCTTACAAGTGTTCAAAATTCAAAAAAATATTTAGAATACTTAAAAGCAATATGATAATGAAAATGTATCATTAGGGAAATAGAGAGGTAGATTTTCTTTAAAGTTCTGTGAAAGTTTAGTAATTTAAAAGATTTTTTCACATTTTTTCTAATTATGGATTTATTTATTTTCAACCAGCAACCAACCTGAAGTAATGGAATTGCTTCTCAAGAAAGGTGCTCAAATTAATGCATTGAACAATGGGGGATGTAGTACATTGCATGTAGCAGTCAACAAGCAGCATGCAGAATGTGTCCGAATCTTGCTCAAATACAAGTGTAATGTCAATATTCAGGTAAATGGCATACAACACTCGGTTTCTTTTACATGTTAATGAGATATATAGACTGTGACGGGTTTACTCTCAAAATTATTTATTTAAAGGTAATAAGGTGTAATAAAGTTAGGATTATTTATTTGAAGGTATTGGTAAATAGAAGTAAAATGTTATGAGGTCAGTTTATGTAATATTAGTGCTGGGTATCGTGACTGAAAAATCGTATCGCGATATATTGCAATATTATATTTTGTATTGCAATATATCACAATATAAAATTTTTAATAAATTTTGCTTTTCGTCAATGTCAAATGAAAACACAAACTCAAATTACATGTATTCACGAGTTGTTATTGCATCTGCCTGTTCTTGTTGGTCGGCGCAAGTGGCAAGCTAAGTTTTTTGTGGCACAACTTGACAAATAAAGTTGTAATATTCAGATTCGGCTTCAACATGAATGGGTTTTATGTAACAGTTGTCGTCTTTTTGTTTCTGAGAGAGACATGTCTCTCGTTTCTGATCACACTTCACATCGCTTGCCCGAAGTTGCCGCCATACTTTACCTTGAAAAGGGCAAATAACTCTTTCTATAACAATTTATAGCATATCGAACCCGAACCGATATTCACAAAAAAATACCGCGATACGTATTATGAAGAAAAAAATCGGGATACACCGGTTAACCGGTAATATCGCACAGCACTAAGTAATATGATCATATAGAGGAACTGTTTTATTTTAACATGCTGATATGCAAGCTAGATATATTGATAGGTACAGATTTTGAGTTTTTGACTACAGTTTTTAGCATAGTGCATGAATCTGATTCATTGAAAAATTGAAAAGTAGCTTATGTGGAATGAAACTTGTGTGAAAAAAAGGCAATGAATATTTGTATGAATTAGTTATATCAAGAGGTATACTGTTTGAGCATAATATATTAGAAGAATATATTGTTAGAACTTCATTTTTATGCCCCGCCATGAATATGGCCAGGGCATATAGTGTTTGTCATGTCCGTCTTCTGTCCTTCCATCTTTCCGTCCTTCCATCCTTCTGTCCTTCCTTCACACTTTGCGTTTAGCTCTGTTCAAAGCTAAGTTTCAAAGAAACTATCCAAGATATTTTCATCAAACTTCATATGCTGATAGATATTGATGAAAGCTATGCAACTGCATCAACATTTTTTGACCCTGACCTTTCCTTTGACCTTGACCTCACTTTTCTTAAATTAGTGTTTAGCTCAGATTTGAACATACCATTCAAGATGGTGTTATCAAACTTCACATGTTGATACAAACTTGCATGGATGATGCATATAGGGACCAGACTTGCTTCGGATGCTGGATCTGACCTACATTTTCCAGATAAGTGACCAGGTTAAAGTTTTTGGAGCAGGTCCATTTCCAAGGAACTATAAGCCCTACCCAATCCAAACTTTCATGGACGATGCATCTAGGGATGAACACTAACTGACTTGCTTCGGATGCTGGATCTGACCTACATTTTCCTGATGAGTGACCAGGTTAAAGTTTTTGGAGCAGGTCCATTCCTAAGGAACTATAAGCCCTACCCAAACCAAACTTGCATGGATGATGCATCTAGAGATGGACACTACCAGACTTGCTTCGGATGCTGAATCTGAACTACATTTTCATTCCCAAGTAACTATAAGCCCTACCTGAACCAAACTTGCATGGATAATGCATCTAGGGATGGACACTACCAGACTTGCTTCGGATGCTGGATCTGACCTATATTTTCATTCCCTAATAACTATAAGCCCTGCCTGAACCAAAAACTTGCATGGATGATGCATCTAGGGATGGACACTACCAGACTTGCTTCGGATGCTGGATCTGACCTATATTTTCATTCCCAAGTAACTATAAGCCCTGTCTGAACCAAACTTTCATGGATGATGCATCTAGGGATGGACACTACCAGACTTGCTTCGGATGCTGGATCTGACCTATATTTTCCTTCCCAAGTAACTATAAGTCCTACCTGAACCAAACTTGCATGGATGATGCATCTAGGGATGGACACTACCAGACTTGCTTCGGATGCTGGATCTGACCTATATTTTCATTCCCAAGTAACTATAAGCCCTACCTGAACCAAACTTGCATGGATGATGCATCTAGAGATGGACACTACCAGACTTGCTTCGGATGCTGAATCTGAACTACATTTTCATTCCCAAGTAACTATAAGCCCTACCTGAACCAAACTTGCATGGATAATGCATCTAGGGATGGACACTACCAGACTTGCTTCGGATGCTGGATCTGACCTATATTTTCATTCCCTAATAACTATAAGCCCTGCCTGAACCAAACTTGCATGGATGATGCAATTTATACACATAGGAATTTTCATGTTGCTTTACTAATATATCCTCGTCGGGGCATTCATGTCCTATGGACATATTTCTAGTTAATATACTGTTGCATAATTATTTTTTTTAAATGCATCAATTCTGTAATGTACATAATGGAGAGTTCTATTTTTGACTTGATTTTCCCTATGACAGGACTCCTATGGAGACACAGCTCTTCACGATGCTATAGGTAAGGAGAAGCAGGACATCATCGAGGGCCTCATTAACTACCCCAGTATTGACTTCACTCTGAAGAACAAGCGAGGATTCAATGTGCTACATCATGCCGCTCTGAAGGGAAACAGTTTGTGAGTTTTATTTCTCAAATCTGTCCACAGAAAGTTTCTATTCTTCTACATGTTAATGTGCATACCCAAGCTTGTTATTTTAAGCTTTTAATTGGTCATTGAAATTGAATGTTATCAGTATTTCTTTTTTAATTAACAGTGCGACAGAGAAGATCCTGCTCAAGTGCCGACAGATAGTGGACATCAAGAAAGATGATGGTTTCTCTGCCATTCACCTGGCTGCACTCAATGGACATCGGGACGTCACTCACTCTCTCCTGACCCAAGTCAGTGGCATCAACAGATACACAATATAGCACAAAACTTAAAAACATATTTTAATAATTATTTTTTATGAAATCAATAGGAATTTATTCTTAATTTTATATACTGGTTTGAATTATCAGAAAGTAAAATCCTTATATATGCAGCATCTTAAAAATTCATTTTAACCAAATTGTTTTAAGCTCACAGTAGCCAAGTGAATATAGTTCAAATGAGCTTAAATTTCTAATTTGTCTAAACCATGACCCAGAATGTGAGATGGGACAGCAAAAGGATATCAAAGTTTGTCATAAAAGACCTTTTTAAGGTTTAATTGAAGTGAATTGACCCTTTATTTCATGTCATTTCAGGGTCAAGCCAACATTGAGATCAGAAACAACCGACAACAGACGCCTTTACTTCTGGCGGTGTCACAGGGTCACACCTCTATTGTGGAGCTCCTTGTCAACAGTGGGGCGGATCTAAAGGTGGAGGATGAGGATGGGGACACAGCACTACATCTGGCCCTCATGAGACAAAGTGTGACCACAGAGCAAGAGAACACACCCATGTTAGACTCTGTAAGTATGAACCTAATACTTATTCCCTGTTGTGCTTGTTGTGCTCAGTGATCCAGTTTGATACTTGATTAACAATGAACTATGGAATTAATGATAAAATGAGGAAGAATTTTTTTAAAATTATATGAAGCCTTATCTGCTTATTCCATAATAATGAAAACTTGTACTATGGAATCTTGAAATTTCACTGGAGACATATTTTCTGATTTATCTTTCATAAAAAAGACCTTTGCATACGAAACTTTGTCTTCATGAACATGCAGAGCTCCAGATAATTTTTTATCCCAAAGTGTATTTACTCCCTGATTTTCAAATTAATGCAGATTTTGGTTTTCAGCAAAATGATTGAGGAGTATTTTATTTTCATATATAAATGTTTCGACCTTAATTTTGATTTTGAGCTTGTAATCGAAATATAAGTGATTTTGAAGAGGGAAAAAACTACAAAGGTTAGTTCCTGCATTTATTTAAATAAATGAAAATACCAACAAGACTTTTTGCTAAAATTGGGAAGCATTCTTTTTTGACAAGGAAGATTATACAGTAGGTCAAGGTACCATAGAGTCAGAGACACAGAACTTTTCCTCCATTTAAGATGATATTGTATCAAGAGTACACTTAGAGAAAAGACTCTTCGTTAATATGGCAAGTTAAGAGAAATGAAAAATTGGCAATGAACCTATAATAAAAAAAGCTATGCCTTGTGCATAGTCTTTCTATTTATAGAAAATGATTTTAATCTAAATCTCTTGATTCTTCCTCCTGAAATGGAGATTGTCCTCACCATTACTAGAATATTCCTGGTCACTAAAAGGCTTTTAAATCTGTACTTTGTTTGGAGAAAAATCAAACCCTGAGTTAACTTCAATTCATTTCATTAAGTAAGTTGTACTTGTATTCTTCAACCTGTTGTATGCAGTACTTTCATGGTGTAATGCTTATCTACGATTGCTAATGAATAATTGTACGCCGTATTTTAATTTTCAATTCGTATTTTGTAAAATTCAATGCATATTTCTGCTAATACGCACCTTATCTGGAGCTCTGAACATGTAAAGGGAACCTTAAACCAAAAAAAGAAAAATTAACAACCAAAACCTCTTCCACAGTAGTTTATTGATAAAGTTCTTAAAGTGCATTTCATTCTACAGTATGAATGACAATGACATTGAACTTTTTCAGATAAGAGAACACCTAGAGAATAAGGAATTAGAGGAGATCACCTGGGGTGTATTGATGACCTGTTACCTGGCAGAGAAAGGGGCTGATCTGTACCATAAAAACCACCAAGGAAAAACACCACTCAACATCATAGGGGACGCCAAAACAGAGGAAGTGGTGCAGGAGTATGCCACAGGAAAGTAAGTGTTCTATTTACAGGGGGACAATGGAAAAGAACCCTGTAGTGTTCCCTAAAAATGAAGTAAATAAGGGATGGTACCATCTATTAAGTTTTTGATTAGGGAGGAGTATTAAAAATCATGATGAACATCCAAGCCCAGCACTAAATGTAATGTGACCTAATTCTTTGAATCTTGTAAAAATAAAGAGTACAAACTCTTATATTTTAGTGTCACCAACATCCCATCTGTGGAGAAGGAGAAGGAGTGCATTATCTGTGAGGACCAGCAAGCCAACGTTAAGTTTGAGCCGTGTGGACATGTGGCAGTGTGCCATGATTGCTGTCAGAGGATGAAGAAGATCAAACGCTGTTTTGTCTGTCGCTCCAACATCGAATCCAAAAAAATAGGTACTGTAGCCTATATGAAGAATTTTTTAAAATCATTTTATTGTTAAAAATTTAGTTGCTAAACATATTTGTAAATTCACACCTTTTCTTTCTGTAATTTGAGCTTAAAATTTGGAGAATCTGTGTTCTAGACAAGTAGGGCATATTCAACACTTAATAGTTTTTAGTATTGATGCTACATACATGTAATGAGCCTGTTTTCCTTGTGATATTCTCAGGTGACAAGGAAGTGTCTGAGCCTATAGACAATCCCATGACAACAGATGAAGATGTTACACTGTGTACTATCTGTATGGAGAGGAAGAAGGACACAGCCTTTCTGTGCGGACACATGGTTTGTCACGTGTGCGGAGAATCCCTACGGAACTGTCATATGTGTCGGCGGGTGATCACCAAGAAGATCTCCATCTTCCTGTAGGCACCTCTGTGAGTGAAAGGAAGATCCTCAACGTTCCTGCAGGGGCCTCAGTGAGTTTTCACCAAGAAGATTCCCATCTACCTGAAGAGGCACCTCATAAGGGCATGAGCTGTGAACGGTTGTTACTATTCAGGAACATCTTTCTAGGGAGCTCCTGTAGAGAATTTGAAGGAGAGGCACAAGCTAAACAGCGTCCTCTTATCTTTAGAAAGGAAATTTTGTTAATGAAAACTCTGTATTGAATTTACCACTGTTCTGGAATATTGTATAGTCTTATAGACATGTATGAAATTATAGCACATGTGCTGTGTTTTGTGTGACTGTGCAACAGAATATAATAATATTGCATGTGATGCTCACATTTGCATGTTTATTTAAAGTATAAACTCATACCAGGCATTTATATATCACAGTTGTCTAAATGTTAGGTTTTATAATTTATTTTTGTCAATTTTTACCTCAATTTTGTATGTTATACCTATGTTTAAATTTCATTATCTTATCCATCTCTATTTGTTTTTAGTGTGTTTTGTTGAATATTTCATCAGATTTGAAAAGAAATGTCCATTTATTGGGGGAAAATCAGTGAAAATTTGAGAAAATTGGCAAAAAGAACATAAACATAATGACTGCATCATAACAGCCTGTACACAATCAGAAGTTGGCCCACATGGTGTTAAGGAGACAGTGCTTTGAGCTGTGATAGAGTTGTCTCCCTTTAATAAATGCTACGGGGATTCATGAAGTGTGATAGGTGTTTCACAAACTCAAAGGAGTGAATGTTCACCGACTATATCTTTATTATGGCTTTGTTGTGTAATTTGTATATTTTTTGTTGTTTTTGATTCAAAAGAAACAACAATTTTTTTGTGTGTGTGCAAACGCATTGCTTTTTTAATTATAATGGACTGGAATTTAATCACCTTTCATCACATATTTGTGTAAAATGTTTGGTGCAAACATGTAGCTATCAACCGAGTTGAAGGCAAGATCTTCATTTAATAAGGAAGTTATTTTGTCTGGTTTCTTGAAATTTTCAAAAGGGCAAAATAAAGTACATGTAAATGTCTATAAGAGACTCAAAATCTGGGACATAATGTGCCATCTTTAGTTTTGTTTTCATTCTGACAGAAGAAGAGAAATACTTGATTTTTTTTTCACAGTTATTTAATTTCCTTCAGATTTGTCTGAAGTAAATAAAAATTAAATGGTTTATGAATTTATCAAATCAGAAATATTTGCACTAGCTTTATTTGTGACTGTGTTCTTGCAGAGTTTTTTGAAAAGAAACTTGTATACCGAAATTGTGCATATGTATATTTAGCCAACAGGGCATGAAGTATGTGTATTTATTTATTCATTTTTAAGTTATTTAATGGATGGTCATACATTTTTGTTAAATCTTTTTTGCTACCTCTTGTAATGAATTTAGCTTGTGATACATCAATTTCAGACAAAACCAAAAACAGAATAGATCATCAGACATGTACTTTTTTTATATGTACATGTATGTTTACAATGTTAATCAATGTAATAATATGTGTGGAAGACAGTTTAAACCATTATTACAACATTTTAAATTGAGGGATTGGGGGAAATTAATACATGTATTGTGATTAGAGATGATAATTTTTTAATTAAAATTTGGTCATTTATATTGAAAATACATGTATCAAAAGACACACAAGTATTTTATTTGTTATTGCATAAAGATCATGGTATCCTTCAACATTGGTGAAACAACAGTACTATTTTTCACCCACCATCAAGAATGAAATTTGACATGACAAGCTTCAAGGTGGATAAACATGTAAAATGAGGAAAACAGCAGAATATTAATTGAATTAATTGAATTAATACATACATATACAGATTTATTTCTATTCTATTCTGGAAAGGTGGTATAAAAAAGGAGGAAAGACATATTGTAAAACCAAAAGCAGAAAAACAATGTGAAGAAGTTTTTAAAAAGGAGACAAGTTGTGAAATTAAAATGGTATAATCTCTCTGTCTCAGTTGTGAGGAAATTGATACTAGAACTTTGAAGAGAATGGACATATTAAGAAATAAAGGGAAGGAAGATGTAAACATGTAATCATGATTCACAGCTACATTGAAATGTAATTTTCTTCAACTGAAATCTGACTTTAAAATGTATCCAGATTTTTAAATACCCATTGATTTTGATATATAGCCTCTTAATCTTCCTGTTCATTAAACTAATGTAAACCTTATCCAATTCATTTAGTGAAAATATAGTTCAATCAATAAAATTAGTCATAACATTAACATTTTAGTGAATGTTTTCCTTATTGAAGTCTATAGAGAAGTACCCAAGTTTTTGCCAAGTTATAGATTTATTAAATCTTCTGAGCCAAAGGCTCAAATAGCTAATGTTATGGCCGTTTATGTGGCATGTATCAGCTTTTTGGAATATACATATCTCAATGCGACCCTTAATTGTAAAGGAAAAATTATAAAAAAAACTTTGTCACCCTTGGGCAAAGGGCATAGAGTCAAGGTCACTTCAAGATTGAAAATTCCTTGTTCTTTGTTTCTAATAAATGCAGTATATCAACCAGAAAGTAAATCTTTGACCTGTTTTGAGAATTTTTCACTTTGATTTCAATAGTGCAGATTATAAGAAGCTCTTGGTTATATATCTTTTTTTCAGTTGACTCGATCAGTCAAGGTCATGGACTGTGTCAAATAAAAAGTAGGTCATTGTCAGATGCTGAATGCATGGTCATGTTAAAAAAAAACCATCGAGGTGATGATGAAAAAACAATACAAAGCACTCAAACATGCACAATTCCATGAACCAGAGACATTAATAACATTTTATTAATGTCTCAGCAACCTTTCACAAAATAACAAAAAAAATTATGACATACAACAATCAAATAACTTTTGATATTTGTAATGAATCATTTAATTGTATTACACTTTAATGGTGCATGCCTCAAAAACTTTCGTATATATACGAGAATAGCTTCAGATCTGTAGCGCTATGGTTTTATATATTTGTCTTTGACCATATAAACGCTACAGATCCCGTAAGGCAAAAAAAGTGCAATTTACGGCGCAATATTTTTTGCGCACTTTTGGGGAGAATTTCTTCACTTTTCACCATTGGTCTTTCACTGCCTAATTCTAGGCACATTATCTAACTAATCTGTGTATTTTATCCATCTCCCAACCCTTTATAGTCGTCTCTACAAGTGATAAACTCGCTTGATTAAAATTATTTGTTAGATTGCTGAAAATTCACTTCAAGCGAGTTTATTGCCTGTAGAGACAAATATAAAGGGTTGGAAGGTGGATAAATTGTAAACATTGGCTACAGAATGTGTCTAGACTTAGGGAGTGAAAGGTGGTTGATTGACCGATGCTGAAAAGTGGAGAAATTCTCCCCAAAAATGCGCAAAAAATATTGTGCCGTAAATTGCACGTTTTTTTGCACTACGGGATCTGTAGCGTTATGGTCAAAGACAAATATATAAAACCATAACGCTACAGGTCTGCAGCTAATACGAGAATTGTTTTTTTTCCGGACTGAACACGTATAAGGACGAATTGACACGCCCCTCTATTTGAGCTGCGTGTACTTCCGGAACTTTCTGACGTTAGATGATGCAAAAGAAAGAACATCAACACAGATGTAAAGCCCATTCCTTGTGATTCCTAATGATTTTTTGGGTAATTTAGGTGAAGAGATTTTAAATATGAACGCGTCTGAATCTTCACAAGACAACGGGCCAGGGGGAGCTACAGGCGGATCTGAAGAAGACGGCAGGGAATTCTTTGAGTGCAATATTTGTCTTGATACAGCAAAAGACGCAGTTGTTAGCATGTGTGGACATTTGTTTTGGTGAGGAACGATTCAATTATTTACATCTTACAGGGTTTTCTTTCCTCGCGACAATGTAGTATAGTCTTGGTTTCAAAAGATATTCTAATAACCTCACTATTCCAATATGAATAAATTACACCTCTTTACTTCAGGTCATTATATGTTTTTGAACAATGTTTTAGTTGGCCATGTTTACATCAATGGTTAGAGACCAGACCAAACCGACAAACGTGTCCTGTCTGTAAGGCTGGTATAAGTAAGGAGAAGGTGATTCCTATATACGGCAGAGGGGCCTCAGAACAAACGGACCCCAGGTCAGTCTGTATTTAATAATGAATAAATATCATAAGCATCAAAGACATATTTGAAAGAGGTATATTTGCAGTAAAAGTGCACATTTAATGTTTCAGGCTATTCTTCCTCTAATCATTGCTTGTGTTAATTGTATACTGTGTTTACAAATTAATCATGTATACTCGTCAACTATATGTTAAAAGTGATGGTTATTTGGTAATACTTGTATAAATGAATTAATTATGATGTTCCATTTTCTTGTTGACTTTTAAAATGTGCATAATAAAATCGGTAAGTTTTTGAGTGCTCATTCACTAACTTGTTCAGTTTTAATGTTGTGTAGAGAGAAATTGCCACCCAGACCTCAGGGCCAGAGATCAGAGCCAGAAAACAATAGGGTATGTTATCACTACTACACTGTGTATACATAAAAAATAGGGTATGTTATAACTACTACACTGTGTAAACATAAAAAATAGGGTATGTTATGACTACTACATTGTGTATACATAAAAAATAGGGTATGTTATAACTACTACACTGTGTATACATAAAAAATAGGGTATGTTATAACTACTACACTGTGTAAACATAAAAAATAGGGTATGTTATAACTACTACACTGTGTATACATAAAAAATAGGGTATGTTATAACTACTACACTGTGTATACATAAAAATAGGGTATGTTATAACTACTACACTGTGTAAACATAAAAAATAGGGTATGTTATAACTACTACACTGTGTAAACATAAAAAATAGGGTATGTTATAACTACTACACTGTGTAAACATAAAAAATAGGGTATGTTATAACTACTACACTGTGTATACATAAAAATAGGGTATGTTATAACTACTACACTGTGTATACATCAAAAATAGGGTATGTTATAACTACTACACTGTGTATACATAAAAAATAGGGTATGTTATAACTACTACACTGTGTAAACATAAAAAATAGGGTATGTTATAACTACTACACTGTGTAAACATAAAAAATAGGGTATGTTATAACTACTACACTGTGTATACATAAAAAATAGGGTATGTTATAACTACTACACTGTGTAAACATAAAAAATAGGGTATGTTATAACTACTACACTGTGTAAACATAAAAAATAGGGTATGTTATAACTACTACACTGTGTATACATAAAAAATAGGGTATGTTATAACTACTACACTGTGTAAACATAAAAAATAGGGTATGTTATAACTACTACATTGTGTAAACATAAAAAATAGGGTATGTTATAACTACTACACTGTGTAAACATAAAAAATAGGGTATGTTATAACTACTACATTGTGTATAAATATATATTATATATTATAACTGTATACAATATATAAAAGGGTAATATGTTATGACTATAGCACAATAAAAACAATAGGGTATGTAGTAACTACCACACTATATATACAATAAAATAACTAGCACACTGTACACTGTATAGGGTATGTTACCAGCACAAGACCTAGGTGAAAATATTTCTTTATTGCATGTATAGTACTTATAGATGGTTAGAGAGAAGCTCTTAAAATTGCATGATAAATATCTGTCTACTGTTTTCTATACAATCAGACTGAATCAGTAGAAAGAAATTTTAGCTTAATATTTTTCAAAAAAACTAGTGAGAACAGTGAACTAGGAAATAATTTGCAGAGTTTTTAGCTCACCTGAGCCGAAGGCTCAAGTGAGCTTTTCTGATCACATTTTGTCCGTCGTCCGTCCGTCTGTCTGTCCGTCTGTCCGTCTGTCTGTCCGTCTGTAAACTTTTCACATTTTCGACTTCTTCTCAAGAACCACTGGGCCAATTTTGACCAAACTTGGTACAAAGCATCCTTGGGTAAAAGGGAATTGAAATTGTAAAAATGAAGGGACATATCCCCTCGCAAGGGGAGATAATCAAGAAAAGACAAAAATAGGGTTGGGTCACTAAAAAATCTTCTTCTCAAGAACCACTGGGCCAGTAAAGCTGAAACTTATGTGGAAGCTTCCTGGGGTAGTGTAGATTCTAAATTGTTCAAATCATGACCCCCGGGGAAAGGGCGGGGCCACAATAGGGTATCAAAGTTTTACATAGAAATATATAGGAAAAATCTTTGAAAATCTTCTTCTCAAGAACCACTGGGCCAGAAAAGCTGAAACTTATGTGGAAGCATCCTGGTATAATGTAAATTCCAAATTGTTCAAATAATGACCCCCGGGGGAAGGGCGGGGCCACAATGGGGAATCAAAGTTTTATATAGAAATATATAGGAAAAATCTTTGAAAATCTTCTTCTCAAGAACCATTGGGCCAGAAAAGCTGAAACTTATGTGGAAGCATCCTGGTATAATGTAGATTTTAAATTGTTCCAAATGTTATAACCCCCGGGGGAAGGGTGGGGCCACAATAGGGAATCAAAGTTTTATATAGAAATAGATAGGAAAAATCTTTGAAAATCTTCTTCTCAAGAACCACTGGGCCAGAAAAGCTGAAACTTATGTGGAAGCATCCTGGTATAGTGTAGATTCTAAATTGTTCAAATAATGACCCTAGGGGGAAGGGCGGGGCCACAATGGGGAATCAAAGTTTTATATAGAAATATACTTGAAAAATCTTTGAAAATCTTCTTCTCAAGAACCACTGGGCCAGAAAAAGTGAAGCTTATGTGGAAGCATTCTGGGGTAGTGTATTTCTAAATTGTAGGAATCATGACCCCCTGGGGAAGGGCGGGGCCATTATTGGGAATCAAAGTTTTACATAGAAATATATAGGAAAAATCTTTGAAAATCTTCTTCTCAGGAACCACTGGGCCAAAAAAGCTGAAACATATGTGCCCATGGAAGGATCATGGGGTAGTGTAGATTTCAAAATGTCTGCAATTAAAATGTTTTTAAAAGGTGTTGAAATTATGATCAGTGGGGTAGGGTGGCCGGGGATGCATTATGTATAACAAGGGGGAAATCTGGTAAAGAACAGAATGGTCAAAGCTTCTCAGGTGAGCGATGTGGCCCATGGGCCTCTTGTCATTTATTAGCTCTTTTGTAAACTTATTCAGATTGTATGATCGTTCTCTGTTTATTTGGAAAACAGAAGGAAAATGATCACTACTGTGTTTTTTTTTTTACCAATAGGGGTTCCCTGGCTTTGCCTTTGGTGGTGACGGAGGTTTTCAGATGTCCTTTGGGATAGGAGCTTTTCCCTTTGGAATCTTTGCATCAACACTAAACTTCAATGATGGAAGACCAGGCCCAGGTACATGTTCAATATTTCTTAAAGAGTTAATATATTTGGATACAGTAATGGGGAAAAGAGATGAAAGAAAATCCAAATCAATATTTTGAATTGAAAGTATGGCATCTCAGCAGTACTGAGTCCTTCTTTAGTATTGGCTGTAAACCTAGTACAGAAAATCATTGAAACAAAATGAAAGGTGAATGTGATCTGTATCTCATCAAAATAGAGACACGTGCCAAAACTTTTCTCAACATATGTAAAGAGTCTAAAAAACAGAGTTGAACATACAGACTTACAAACAAAGAGATAGAGTGACAGGAGGACAGACGTTCAATGTAGGTCCCACTGTTAGGGTTGTGAAGAATTTATACTTGAACACTGTACAGGTATGATTAATTTCACAGTCAATGAAAGCTTTTTTTATATTTATAAAGATGTGTTTTATTTTTCAGCCCAGCCAGGAACCGCCCACCACCAAGAAGAGCAATTCCTGTCTAAAGTCTTTTTATGGGTAGCAATTCTGTTTATTTTCTGGCTCCTGATTGCTTAGTGTGGACATTTTTTTAATGCAACTACTAAGTATGTTAGAGACACTAGGGGCTGAGAGCTCTAACATCATACTGATATGTAGGTTAGTAGGTGTATGTTTTAGAAGGAAGAACAGTTAAGTCATCTGGCATTACATCACTGGTATCTTTCTATGCTTACATTGTGTAGAATACTTGTACACAGATTTGTTTTTTATTCTGACGGATGATAGGTAGAATCTTGACAAATGACGTACATGTATATATAAAAAAAGAAATTATGTTCTATTTCAGGTAAAAGCTTTTTTCTCTTAAAAAAGTCTTAAAACTATGCAGGCATCTGTTCTGATGAACTAAGTTCAAAATTGATAAATAGTTTTTAGGCTTTAAAAAGGTTTCATTAACTGAAAATACATTTTAATGTATTTTTATAAAAAATTGTGCAATGATATGTTTTTGTTGTTAAATAATGTGCTGTATGTTTTGCTTTCATTTGTGAATTATTTGTCAGAAAAATTGTAAGTTCATGTAATTTTGTGTATATCCTAGAGTTGTGATGTAACACTGGTAGTACGTTAGAGAGATGGTAGTCTGTAGATCAGTGTGTTTTAATGTGTACAGTAGAGAAGACCATCATTTTGTACAGTGTTCTATGTGCAAGTGTAAGAATGTGAGAATTTATTGTATCCTTTTTTTGCAAATGGTGATTTTATGAATTAATTGTCATTATGACAATTTACTATAGACTGGGTGTATGATCTATTTTGATCAGTTGTTTACTATTTTTGAGATATTGAGCTGTTATGTAGGAGCAGAAAAACACCACAAACTGAATTCACACCCAATTACAGAATAAGGAAGATTCTGTCTATCTTTAAAGGTATATATGTACTATATGGTATTTTTTTTATGACCAAAACTCTTTATATCATTTTATATGTTTCATTACATTAAGTAAGGACAGGGCTTTAACAATACAATGTATTATAAACTGATTTTTTTATTTCAGATTACAATGAAATAAATTATAAATTAAGTAATATCTGTATTTTATTACATTCAGAATCCTGCTTTGATCTGGTTCGTTTACAAATGCACACAGATATGTAAATGTATTATTTGTATACTTCTTTTTATGGGGTGTTGAGATGGAGATAATAAATTATGCATCAACTGATTAACATAAATCTGAAAAAAAATAATTTACTGTTACATGTACTGTATGAATTAACATGCATGCTCATGATTGAAATACCGTATATGTAGAATTTTTAGCGAGGATTTAATTTTGGCCTTATTAGCGAGGGTGCTGACATCGCTAAAAATAATTGCGTATTATTTCTAATAGATTCTTTAGTCAGAATTTAAAATCGCTAAAATTACTTCTCGTTAAAAATAAAATACCAGTTCTTAGGTAGCAATCGCTAGATTTACGTCTCGCTAAAATTTCCACTTATACGGTATACTAGTCATGTAGCGATTGATAAAAGTCAGATATCAAAATGACATTGATAAAATTACTACCGGTAGTATTTATATGTAAGATGACAGAAGGGATGATGTGTATGTTATTTTTTCTTCATGTCACTATAAGAGAATTTGTATTTATTGTCATATGTTTGTTAAAAAGGAGGAACCATATGAAATGTTAATTGTTGATTGAAAATCTTAAAACTGAAAAATAAAGTATTGAATGTATACTTGTCTGTGGAACCATATGAAATGTTAATTGTTGATTGAAAATCTTAATAAAAACTGAAAAATAAAACATTGAATGTACACTTGTCTATTTTCTTTATGAATGTAAAGGAAATTTCACAGTACCCGGTATTTGGCAGTAACTGGTCACACAAAATGCTCCTGTTGAACATGGGTGGTCTATTTTTTCTGTTAATCCCACTTTATGAATATAACAAAATCACAACATTATTATTTAATTAGCAAAGCATGTGAACTTGTATATCATTTTCACAAGAAAAGAAGAAAATATTCACAACACATTAAAAATATTTGATCTGCTCACAAACTTGCAATACAAAGGGACTGGTTTGCAATTTGCAAGATACGCTTGCAGTTACTTGACAAGATGGATTGAAAATCAAAATTTCAAAAGCAATTAAGTAACCCCAAATTATTGCTTTTTTAGCTCACCTAGGGGAAAATCTGATGAACTACTCTGGTGAGCATTGTGGTCCATGGGCCTTTTGTTGACTACCAGTAATTCGTTTATTTAATTTTAATTAAAAAACTTGTTTAAGACCAAAAAAATGGAATAACCATGGTAACAGATAATGGAATCATTTTTAAGGAATCCGGAAAAAATCGTTTTGGGCGTGTTCAATTCTTACCTTTTAAAATTCCGGAAGTATATCAAAATTATTTGTTTACATGAGAAACGCGTAAAAAGATTATTGGAAACAATGTTTGACACGTGAAGAAAAGTAAAAGATTATGTCAAGACAATCAACATCACAGTCACAGGTAGAATATTATTCCTAATGGGTCTAAAAGTACAGCAGTAAAAAAAAAAGTTAATTCGAATTTCCTCAAATCTGTAAAAAAAAGTTCTATTCTCGAGTTGGGAAATTTTAACAGATAACAAAATTAATCTTGGTATATGTAAAACATTGAGTTATGTTTTTTTAAAGATTATAAATACAACAGGTAAGACAGGGTTGTTCAGATGCTTACGAATAACTGAATTTGTGAATGTAACCATTGCATAAATCGAATCTAAATGATGTTTATGTGTATTTACAATGGCATGGACAGGATTGGAATAAAGAATTACAATTATGCATTTAACTGTTTAATAATTAATATTTGCTTTTCAATGTGTAATAGATTTTACCATATGTTTACATGCAGGTGTTCATGCATACTGAATAACATATTTCAAGCAAAAAATTTCAGGCATGCTGTATGAATAATGGTATAGGCCTATGAATTGACAAATATGATCAATTCATTCATGCTTATATTTTCATTGCATGATCACATAGTTTATAAAAAAAAACTTGTTGCTTTTTAATTATTTTCATTAACAACTTATCTTTGCGCTGTACCGTCTGCTTCGATCCAAACAAATATAATGAAATCAAGTGTGAAATGTAAATGGTTGATATGTTGTTCAGTTGAGTCTTAACATTTGAAGGCTTATTAACCATTGATTACATATAAAACTAAATGGTCAGTGATTCTTTTTAAAGGTATCTTTATTAATTTTATTTGAGATAAATTACATGCCTTGTCGGGTTTATTTTTGTTTTTGGATTTCAAGCAATATTTCATTTTAGTCAAATTTCTTAAAATTAATACATGTATCATAAATTGAAAAAGTATGTTTTTTCTGTTTAACAATGTTTTAATGATTGCTGGAAGATCTTAAATGTGTATGTAGTATTTATTTTTGCTTTTCACTATAAAGTTATAATTAACAAACATTACAGAGAGGAGGACAGAGAAGTAATGTTCCATCTAGAGCACAGTCACAGGGCAGGGTAAGTTAAAATACTGTTAATTTTAAACTCTTTTCTTAATTCATTTTATTTCATTGTAGTAAGACATATTGTTATAAAACAATAGGAGAAAATCTAATTTGTAAATTTTACCATTAATTAAGAGATTTGTATATAAAAACCTACAGTAAGTTGTACAGAACTGCTTTCCAATCCTTTTGATTTAATCAATAAAATATGTTAAAAACAAAAACCTACATGTTCATATTAATTAATTAATTAATATATCCTAAAGATTTAGAAGGACCTAGATGTAGCCGGATGTTGTAAACTGATGTTTATGGATTATTTTAAATGATTTGTATGAAACTTATTCTTACATAGGAGGCCCCCATAGACAGGCGAACATACATTCCCCCGGATGGATATGACACAGATGCCATGAAACAGTTCAGGGCTTACCTCAAGGAGACTGGAGTGGAGGAGACATTTAGAAAGCTGGTCAAGTTGTTGTTGAATCGGCCCACCCTCCCCTACAACCCCTATCCAGGCTTTGTCCTGAGGTTCAGGCAGTTTGCAGAAAAGTAAGTAAATATATCTTTCATTCTCATCAAAAAATATATTGTAAATTCATAATACATGTATTCATAATGAAGATAATATAATGTTAAGCTTTTACAAATAGATAAACTTTTCATATCATTTGCATATTGCACAATTTTACTGCAGATTTCATATGGAACAAGAATCAATTGGGAAAATTCAACAAACATTAAGTAAGTTTGGATATAAATTCAGATTGTTGGCCATAACACTTTTTTATGGAAATAATGTCAGTGAAATAGAAGTTAATTACAGCACATCTGAGGATTTTAATCATTATTAGAATTAAAATAAATGAACAACATTCAGGAGAGATTTGAAAGTATGATTTTAAACACAATAGGGAACGCTCTGCAGGAGACCTATCTCCCTAACTTGTTCTGTGTGCGGGGACATGACACGGTGTGGGGGCTGTCCAGTATTCTACGGGCCGTTGACCCATCCTCCCTGGAGAAATATAAATGGCTGATGGAGGACATCACTCCACACCCAGAGGATATCATGTCAACACAGGACTATTCTGTAAGTTATCACATAAAACAGGACTATTCTGAGGTATTTTATGGGAAATTACTTATGTGCATGTTGTATATAGATTTTTGTCATTATAACATTAATTTTGTTTCAGAATCAGGTGATGCTAGCCTTGGTTGGCCCAGCGGTGTTTGATGGAACTTTTTATCCTTATGTTCACAGCGTTCAAATCCGAATGGAGCATTTAATTACAGGCCCGGATGTCAAGGAGGTCAGACTAATGTGAAGATATATCAAGTAGATACTGAGTTATTTTGCCTCTTTCTCACACATTCAGTGAATGATTTTTAAAACATTTGATTATAGGGTGTGGCAGTATTTGTGAACAGTGTGATGGCTTATATTGATGCTATGTACTCCAATCCTAGACATCTCCTCATGGGTAAAATATATAAAACTTGTAATATATCTTGTCATAACACAGTAAATTGTCTTTTATGAACAAATAAGGATTCAAAACAAAAATACTAAATTATACCCTCAAGATCTGGTGTGTAAATGAAGTGAATAATGTACCTACCAGACTTTCTGGGAGAGAGAGAAAAAAATAGTTGGCTGTTTCATATCATACAAATAAATTTAACTTCATGATTTACATTTAAATTTCCTTGTCAGGTGTGAATATCCCTGACATTGACGAGGAGTACCCAGACATAACAGTGTATGATCTGTGGGACCCCGACAAAATCCAAGAGGAGAAGGTACTAACTTAAAATCAATGGACACTGAAGTAAATATTTAGATTTTAATCAATAAATCAATAAAATTTAATCAATCAATGTGCAATCTGTATACATTAATGAAAGTTTTTTTTGTGTAGGAGGAGTTCCTGCAGGTTTTGAGTGACACTGTTATTGGTAATAAGTACATATGTATGGAGTGTATATTACGAGCTGATCCATATTATCCTAAGTACATTAGAGGGCAGATACAGTTTGGACTCAACTTCATTGAAATCAGCAAAGATAACATTGAAGAGGGGTATGGGTTTATCCACTTTTAATAGAACCATTGTTTGATCTTGTCGATACGTGTACTGTGATATTTAGAAAATGATATTCTATAGAATGTGAGCAAAGTTACAAAATTTAATGAATGCAATTTACATTTATGTGTGCTTGCTCTTGCTATTTTAGGATTGTAAGTTTCTGTGAGTTTCCCATGGCTTGCTTACATGAAGGGGTGTTTCTAAACAGATCCCATGCAGAACAGTATATATCTATATTTTCTCCACAAGTTGACCCATTTCAGAATGATGGTCCAAGATCTGCAAGTAAGACCTGGAAATAAAAATTAATACAAAAAAGTTTTTCTTTTCTATGTTGGGTAATGGGTATTGACAGTGTTGTAATGGTGTATGTGTTTTCAGTGGGCCAGCCTGAGAGGCCAGATAAACTGGAGATAGGAGGTCCCCGGAGTTACAGTCGACAGAGCAGGAACCGACTGCCCACCAGGGCACAGGACCAGGACATCAGGACGATCAAACGACACGTCTACGACAGGACCACTCATATCATGCCCAGGAAAGTCCGAATTGATGGGTTCCGCATCGGAGACGAGAACTCATATGGACCATATGCATGGCAGATTACAACTCCAATCAAGTAAGTGTATCACTTATTGCATGTTGACAAGTTATGTATTCCCAGTTTCAGTCTAACTAATGAGATGTAAATGTTCCTCTGTAGATCTCATTTCCAGAAGAGGGTAGCAGGACACCACATGCATGCTGAACTCTGTGATGCTATTTACTGTACCATTATACTGCTGCTGTTAGACAGGTAAATATATTACCTAGTACATGTATATCAGTCACTCAATCGGAATTGATCCTTTTAGTTGATTTATAAGACATTTTAGATGTTAATGCATGATTAAACATATTGCATGATTAAACGTATATGACTTGTAAATTTATTATGCTATATTAAGATTCTTAGCCTGTAATTCTTTGTCATTTCTACCTTTTCTACCTATTTTAGAGATTCCTATGCACAGGAGCTTCCATTTGAGTTATACAGACTTTTGCACAGTACTGTAGGACAAATGTACTTACTGATGGAACAGAACAAATCTGTCAGATACATGGTGAAGGGCTTTTCCAATGTAAGTTGCTCAAACTATAAAAACTATAACTATTTATAGCATTTGTTATTAAAGATGGAAAGTTGATTCTTAACTTAA